CTTTTTCTTTCTCCTATATCTCTCTTTTGATGATCTCCCGCCGCCATTGATTATCTGAAATTATTCGTTCGTTGTTCATAAAGAAACATATAAGCTGTTAAATAAAGTAATAAAACAATGCAATCCTGCATAAAATTCTGCATAATCTTCTTGTGCTTTCCTTCATAAAGGCGTCAACTTTCTTTTGCTTCATTGACTAAAACTAAAAGGCCTCATTCAATCTGAGTTTGTTGGTAATTTTCTTGCCTGCCGCAGTAATGACATTGAAATTTGCTTTGATAATAATTACAAAAGGAAAAAAAAAGAAAGAAAAAGAAAATTAACCTGTTGATTGGTTGTCTAAAGAAACTTATGGATTTTTTTTTTTATTTTCTGTGCATCGGTTTTGATTTTAGACATGGGTTTTGGTTGAAAAGTTTATTTTAGTTGAGGTTTTAAGTAAAAAGTCTGAAAATCTGAGGGTTGTTATTCTAATGTGAACTATTTTCCAGTTTCAGGTGATGTTGTTGCCATGATTATGTTTGTGGTGGTATAATGCATGCTTATGGGTCACTCTGATGTACTGCACATAGTGTTTGCTGCTGTTGTTTGGTTTGCTACATATGCTTTGGTTGCAATCCTCGGGATCTTTTGCGTTTGTAATTTCGTCCGTACTTCCATATTTTAATTGAGAAAGGTATAGTCCAAGAAACAAATTAAGAGGAAAAGAAAAGAGAGAAAGCTACCATGGGCTATGCTCAGCTCGTTATTGGCCCTGCTGGCAGTGGAAAGGTAATTGAGCAAATTTTTTTACCCTTTAATAGCAGCTAAAATAGATTTGCTTTATGATGTATTATCTTTGTTCATCTAGTATGCGTTTTTGCATCTAAGTATTCCACTTAACTGTTAAAAGAGTTGTATATAAAATTTTAGCTTGCTTTTGCCATGTACAGGATGTATACGATACTATGATAGTTTTGTGAGGGCTGTTACTAATGTTTTGTTTTCTCAAGACAGTCCACTTATTGCTCAAGTTTATACCAACATTGTGAAACTGTGGGACGACAAATTCACATTGTGAACTTGGATCCTGCTGCAGAAAGTTTTGACTATCCGGTTGCCATGGGTGAGTAGTGCCAGTAGCTAGATTTTTACCTGATCAATTAGTCATCCTGGGTTCTCATTGGTTCCTAAAAGATTAACTCATGAATCTTTGCAGACATTCGAGAACTCATATCTTTGGAGGATGTTATGGAGGAACTCGGTCTTGGTCCAAATGGTGGTCTTGTTTATTGCATGGAGTATCCTTCCTTACAATATTTACTAATTTTTGTTCCTTTTCTCACAGTTGGCATTTGTTTTGTTTTCTGTCATGAAAAAGAACTTTTAATTCTTAGACAATAAAGTAATGGAGTCCGTTTGTTTCATCATGTGAGGATAAGATCTATCTTGTATGGCCTTAAATCTTGATGCACAGACACCTTGAAGACAATTTGGATGATTGGCTGACAGAAGAGCTGGATAACTACTTAGATGATGATTATTTAGTTTTTGACTGTCCAGGTTCTTATTTTCTGATACTTGGTTTCTTCTTTTGCATTCATTAAGTATAATGGATGAAAACTTGAACAACATCTTTTTCCAAAAAAAGTACAAATGGTATACACAGGACTTTGCAAACCATAAACTTTCTATTGAGTGAGATGAAAAATTGTGATTCATGAGGAAACCCACTGCTTTCTTCCTTTTGCTGGATAAATTGTTGAAGCTATTGTAAAATGCAACTCCAATTTGTTTATCTGAAAATTAAAATGCACAGATGTATGGTTCTCTGGACATGGCTTGATTTATTGCTTTCCTGTTTATAGTCAGTGTTCATGCGGTATCTTAGTAGTTTTAGCGTGAAGAAATTTTTTAGCTTAATAAGTACCTATTCTGTTTTCTGTTTAATCAGGGATATGTCAGCTTTATGTTGGTTAACTCTTAATTCTTGAGAACTGAGATATTATTGAAACACTGGAATGAAATCTTTCATAAAGTTCCCAAAATATTAATAACTTGTTGACTAATTGGAATGTTTTAAAACAAAGGCTTATAGTTGCAGGATAGTGTTTCTTCATGTTCATCTTTTGCTGTAGATGCATCCAATTCAAATTGGTAAACTTGTCAATGGCTGAACCGAGAAACCCAAAATTTCTAATTTTGATTTTCCTTGCTCTCCTTGGTACAGGACAAATAGAACTTTTTTCACATGTTCCCGTGTTGAAAAACTTTGTGGAGCATCTAAAGCGTAAGAATTTCAATGTCTGTGCTGTGTACTTGCTTGATTCCCAGGTATATATATTTTTTAATGCTGTATGCTTGGCAGATAAATTGTCCACACTTGCATGAGCTGGAACTTGATACGTCATATATTTGTGTATAGTTCATCACAGATGTGACCAAGTTTATAAGTGGTTGTATGGCGTCACTTTCAGCGATGGTTCAACTTGAACTTCCCCATGTTAATATTCTCTCCAAGATGGATCTTGTGACAAACAAAAGGGACATTGAAAAGTTAGTGCTTCTAATCTTTTGTCACTTTTCTACTTACAAATGCATACTTGTCAGAATTTGAATCAATTTTGTTTTTGACCTTCCTTTGCTTTCCTTCTTCTGACTGTATTCTGTAGTTACCTGAATCCCGAGCCTCAAAATTTGCTGCCTGAGTTGAATCAACGGATGGCTCCACGGTTTCAAAAGCTTAACAAGTCTTTAATTGAATTGGTGAGTTCTTGGTTTGACAAATACTTTTGTGTATAGTAGGTTATCATGTTGTCTGGGGCTATCAGGATCTCGTTCCATTTGCATGAAATGTTGTCTGGGGCTATCATGTAGTGGGTTTGTTATGGCTCTGTCACATAGAACGACTTCTCTTTTATTTGTTGCTAAGTTTGGAATCATTTAGTTATTATGCTTAGTTCATCCTTTCACCTTTGTGGACATTGTACAAAAGCTTTTGGTATTAACTGGCGCCTTTAACTGTTGTTTGATGGACAACCAATAGCTTAAAGTCCTCTACAGTATTAGATATTCACTTGTTGTTCACTTCAATTTATGTAATGCTGCATTTAATCATGTCTAATGTCTTAGTGTTGTGAATGTTCATTGGAAATAAAATCAGGTGGAGGTATTTATTTGAAATATTGTTTTTCATGTGTTCCATGTAGGTTATTGTTTCGCCTTCATTTTGGGCTTAGTATATACACAAATTAGTAGTTTGACTTGTATACCATGTCCATGTCAGAGTACCTCATGTATTATGCGGAGGATGTGACTGCTTGACTATTTTTTCTTGCAACAGGTGGATCAGTATAGCATGGTCAGCTTTTTGCCTCTTGACTTGAGCAAAGAAAGCAGGTGCGTACCTTTTTTATTTTTGTGATAAAGATTTATAGATGTATGGAAGTCTTAGAAGTTTAGGACTTTACAATAACATTTTCATGCTATGAAACTTTTTGCTTTCTGTAGTATCTTTTTACCTTGACTGGATTTTATGAGGAGTGTGGGAGGAGAGTCATTGGTCTCATGGTGAGCTTTCATTGATTTTAAAGGAAAAGATTGTACCCTTGTTATTATAACTTAGAAGACATCACATTTAGTCGAATTAGGGCAGATGGATCATTGTCTTTTCAGTCACATTTGCCTCTGCCCCCCTACTAGCCGAGAAATAAAAAGTGAAAAAGAAAAAAGGGCATCTAGTAGACGTAGTGCTCTTTGTTGGTATGAGCATAGGCCATTTATGCCTTCTGATGTTCAGATATATGCATATGTTTCCTTTTTCTAGAAAGGATGTTTGTATTTGATAGCCAAGTACCAAAGTTCAACTAGCTTGCCAGTGGCATAAACAACCTGTGCCTCAGCAATAAGCCACAGTGAAATGTGATTTTGGTTCTAAACCTGTAGTGTATATAATTGTCAAATGCTTTATTCTATTGCCAGATCTTTTAGCATTAAACTTTTGCATGTACTTAGGAGCTACTTTGGAAATACTTATATTATCTAAAACTGTGGAAACTCCTCATCATGGAAATATTCTTCCTTTGGATGTTCAGCAACACCCTTTGCATTGTATATTGTCCTACTCTTTGCCAATCTAGTTTGTGCATGGATTGAAACGGTTCTTGTCGCATTTGCTTTAGCCGAATTAGTTTAGCAAATTTTTGAGTTTTCCAAACTTAAGTAGGTTATCGCTGCTAAGGTATAACTTTAATTTCTCTGCTCTTACTTGCAGTATACAGTACATCTTGTCACAAATTGATAACTGCATTCAGTATGGAGAAGATGCTGATGTGAAGATTAAAGATTTTGACCCGGAAGATGATGATTGAAATTATATAGCTATCTGTCAATTTTCTTTAGGCTATTTCCAAGTTCTGGCAAGGTTGGCCAGTGGCAGCTCGAATTACACAAGATCATTAGTGAAGTTACATTTTGTAAATGTTTAATTTCAGTGTAGTAGCAAGTATTTGAAATGCTTTTCATCTCATCTATGAGTTGCATTCGGTTGCTAACTGGAAAGAATGAGAATGGGAGCCTAAACCATGTGTGGGAAGTCTCTTTTTTCTGTTTGCGGATAGATCTGTGAAGTTCTGCACAACACAGATTTCTACGTTTGGAGCAATCAGCATGCGTCAATTAAATTGCTAGAAACAAGAAGGGATTCCGGTTTGTGTTGCTGGCACTAATTTCTTGCTTTTGGGAACACTACTTTTCTGTAAAAGTTAAACTTTGCTTTAGGTAAGCTGCTTCGTAATAGGTGAAATAAAAAGTTCAAAATGGGAAAGGAGAGGAAAGAAGAGGAAGACATAAAAGGAGGAGGAAAATAGGATGCAAGAAATCTATATCAATTTGATTCAAAATCATTCAGGGCGTTTTATGGTTTAAAAGTTCCTGTGCTTTGGCCCAGCAACAATGACGCAGTAGAGAGTCTCAAATTGAGAAATTTTCATATGATTCAAGCAAATCGTACTTCAGGGTAAGAGGGATAACGGGTTTTCTTCCTTCTCATTCTTTTAATTTTCCTTAATAATGACGATGTAAGAAGTTGAAGTCAGAGGTTACTGTATCCAGAACATTCGGGAAATAATCCCAAAAAAAAAAAAGATAACAAACTTTGCAATACCCACTTGTGTATACAAATCTAGTTTTTCACTACTTTGAAGCTGATAATAAAGCTCTGTACAATAAACCACACAACATGACAGCACCGTCATTGAACTAAATGACCTAAACTAGATATTTGTTTTCTTTACTAATGCTTATGACTGTCGAGCATCAAGCCATGATAGGTTGTATGATGTTCATAGAGCTTCAGCCTGAGAGCAGCATTCCTTCCATGAATGAAGAAAAGCAACGCAGCAAAGATACACCTGTGAATCCAAAAACCAAAAAAACTTGTCAAAGCTAGCATTTTGCTTAGAACTGAAGACTTTAAACCAACAGACGCAGTCATCAAGGTTAATCAAGAGTGGCATGCTCTTCCATGGGATATGACATGAAATGGCAAGGGGAAAACAGGAGGGCACAGGATTCAAACAGTGCTTTTAAATGATATCCGGAGTTATCAGTATAATTTGATTAGGCAGTGTAGATGATGGGATTGCCACTTAATATATTAGGTTCTTGTGCCATCTGTTATGACAAGTGGAAAATGAAGGCAAGCCTAGAAAGAGGTATGGAAAAGAGGGAAAAAGGGAGGTAGAAACGAGGGGCGGGAGACTGGGAGTTGAGGGTGAGGAGGCAGGGGCTAGGCATTTTAATCATTGTAAGGACTTGTGTCGAAGAATTTTACCCAGGTAGTCATTTAACACAACACTAATCAGTTCAGGATGTCAAATTCTTGAGCCCCGAATCAGACCACAAAGCATAACTAAGAAATGACTCCAGAACAAAAATTAAGAGAACAAGGAAGCATACTGTTTGATGCATGAAAGCCCAAGGATCACAAAGTGGCATTCAGAGAGGATGACCAAGAATGTAGAGCTATCTTCTGATCCACTTGAATTCCTTCACGTCGCAACAATACCTCAATCGTTAGATCAGAATAACTATGACTTGAAAAAAAATTACAGCTGACAGAAAGGGAAGAATCATGACATTTCGTTTTAACAAACCTTTACACCTTATTTCTCCAACTTGAATAAGATAGTGTATAGTGCATGTCCCCCATCAGAACTCTGAATAATCTAACACAGCATGCAGAGAGAATCCATGTCTCCAAATTTAGGTAATAACAAATTTTATCCATGTATAGAAGCAATGCTTCGATATATGTTCCGGCAGGTCTACCTGCACCCAAAAAAAAAAAAGTCGTTATATATTTATATATATATACACAGAGAGAGAGAGAGAGAGAACTAAAACAATTTAACACCAATCATAAAATGTGGAAATGGACCATTTTCTTTTTGGGGGAAGGGGGTTTACAACAGTATAGAACATGCATTGAGAGAAGGGAGAAGGAAGAAGGGACAGAAAGCACTGTACAAATAAACAGCTCACCAGGCAAAAAAAAAATAAACCAATAACCATAAATTAAGCAATAGAAGATTAAGGTAGTCTTCTTAGCTACATCTAAGTGATGAACTAATTGGCAGATTATCTGACTGCCCCTAGTCTAACAAATGGATGACAAAATGCATTCACTAACTTGCAGAACATGTGACTATATTGACCTATTTGAAAAGAGATTAAAAAGAGAATTCGAGGCAATCCTATTGCAAAATCAAGAGAGATTAGAGCAAGATTGAAGTTAACTTACACTGCTCCATGTAGTAGAATACTGATCAGTAGACAGCAACCAGTCACCTGCCTTAAATTGCAAATCCAGGCCGTTATCTGACACATCCAGATCTATCAATCGTTCACCATGGCTTTCTTCTAATTTATGCTTTCTTCTCCTTTTCTTAATATGCCTTCCTTTCTTCTTATGCCTAACTTTACCTGAAGGCCTGTCATCCCAATCAGATTCACTTTCTTCTGAATATTCGTCATCTTCTAGCAATCTATACTTGTCAGACTTTCGAAAACCTATGCCGTTGCTAGAAAATAAGGACTCCCAGGACTCAGATGTCCGAAATTCCTCCGACAACCTAAAAAAGATTGCCCAAGACTGCAATCCTAACCATCTTATTGACTCTAAATTTTTCTTCTTGGACCATTCATCCATAATTGGAGCCAAACTATCAGCACGACTTGAAGAAGAACAAACCTGAGAAACTATATTCTTAACTTTTTCTTTTTCATCCAGATTACCTTCTTCACGAACAAGTCGCAGAAGCTGGCGTGCTTGACTAGTCATGGCATTTAACAGTAGTAATTGATCAATAGAAGTAATACTGCACTTTGATAGTATAACTTCAAGCCAAAAAGACGGACTGTCATACTCAACAACTTCAGACCTTGATTTAAGAAATTTACTGATCAAGTCCATAAAGTATGATAACTCCTGCTCTTCAAGAATGATAAGAAGGTGATGGCACAGAGAGGAGAAGGGTTCCTTAATTAGAAATTCATCTATGATGCCCCATAGTTCTTTCATGTCCTCCTTATACATCAAATTTACGAACATATTAACAAAAAACTTTTTATCTATTTTCAATATCTCTCCATCCTTCAATGACTCAGCAAATTCGCTGGATGACCAAAACTCTGGCACATATTCAAGAAAATTCTCTACTGTGCGTTGGACGTCCAAATCAAGAAAGTAATGAGGTTTCGTAGCAACCACTGCAGGTGACTGGCCATGCTTTCCCTTCCACTCCAGTTCCTCCCAACAAACATCTCGATGCACAAAAGCATAATGGGATAAAGCCTTAGCCCCCTTTCTGTGCCCCAAGCCAGTGCCCCCACTAAAATTAGAGAACCACTGCAAGATCCGCCTCGGGTTTCCTGCATTTAACAATAATTAGCAGAGGAACCTAAATACAAACCAAAGTTTCCTTGGCACAGTAACTTGCCTCTGAAGAAATTCTCCAACATGGAGCTTTTCTTTGCAATAATACGCCCTGCTTTTTTGGGCTCCTTTTCAAAAAGCAACTGAAGAAATTGGGATGCTAGGCGTCGCTTTGCCGTATGAGCTGTTAATAACCTCACAAAGAGTTCCTGCTGATGGTGGGGACTGATTGAACTTATGCCCGCAATAGTGTTGCAGAGCCAAAGTCGAACTTCAGAACGGCCCCCTGAAGTCATTAACAACCACAAAACTGATTCTAGCTCCCTAAGAAGTGCTTTCCTCTTTTCAAACAATTCATCGTTCCCATCATTGCTCCAATTAGAAGCCGAAAGAAACAACTGAATCATCATGAAGAGAACGATCAATCGCTCCACAAGACACCTGAGTCCAAACTAAATCCCTTATAACAAGGCAACTTGGCACAATCTAACCAATACCATCAAAACAAATTACTTCCATTAGAAAAATTAAATAACCAAGATATTCAATAACACACGAAATCGAAATCATTAGCTGCTTCTTTCGATCAGTAATCACTGTTATACACTCTAATCACGAGATGAGATGACAGTATATGAATTTTTATTGCTCCAAAAATCGAAACCAGAATTCAGAAACCTGAACATTATTAATCTCAAAATTTTTTCCAATGACTAGGAAAGCCCAAAATCACAAGTGAGCGAGCCAAGGAACAAGCTTGGAATCTAACTAACAAACTGCTGCATTTGCTACAACTTAGCACAATAATAATATCCTAAATATCTCAAATTTAATCCAGAAATACTGCTAATTATCAATACCAAGCCCAAAAACAATGCTAATTATCTGGTAATTAATTTACCATAACCTAGATTAGCACAAAGACTATAATGTTGCGGTGATTTATTTATTTGCTATAAATGGTAGAACTGAAATTTCACCTGGAATGGGAATCGAGGGAAATAGAAAGGGTGGTGCAGAATAGCTTCCCCAGCAGCTGCCGTGCCCTAATTTTATTGGGAATTAACCGGGGATAAAATGGGCCTCGAATGATGAAGAGATAGGTGTAAAAGCAAGACGAGAAAGGGAAAAATTGTATTCTAGGTCCCTTATGTTTTGTAATAGTTACAATTTAGTCCTTCATGTTTTACCTTACCATGCAAAACAAATTTAGTGTAAAGGCCTTCTCATTTGATTATTTCGCATGATTTTATACTTTAATTTTGAAGAGTAAGTTGCTCTCATATACTTGTTTGTTTTTTAGATTTTACAACAAACAAAAAAATTTAAAATCTACCGATGGTGATTTCTTATGATAAGAAAACATCATCGTTGATAAGAAAGTCACTACTAATGTCTGATTTAAGCACGGCTGTAAAACCAAAACTTTGTTCTTGAGAATTATACCTATGAGCGAATAGTATATTAGTTCTTGGTGTTTTTTGATGATGATCCTAGAGTACATGATTAATTTTCTAAATTATATGCATAATGCATATCTTAAAGATGAACTTGACCTTTCTTTTAGCCTTTTTTACGTTCAAACTGCATATACTAAGTAATTTCATTAACTCATTTGCTTTAAAATTTTTTAATTTTTGGTAGTGAAACGTCTTGATCATGTCTGGTTCTGGCTCGAACTGGTCATTTTTTTATCATGTCAGAGGTCAAAAAGAACTACTGCATTCAGCATTACCTAATCATTCAAAAGTGAAATTAGTAGAGTTTAGTGATGCAGGTGATTGTCTCGATTATCCCATGTCCAAGTTATTAATCCCATGTACCAATAAATAATAATATTGGGTTTGTTCTTTCTCAGTAGTCTTGTTCAGAACAGATCAGGTTGAAAATGTTTTTCATGAAATATGGCCTGATGGTCATATAATATAAGAAGCACTAAATCATATTGTTTCACCTAGAATTAACAATGCAAAATTGTTATCTGGATCACCTTTGCATCAAGTTCTGACAATAATTCAAAAGCTTGGATCTTGCATGGTCAAATTAGTCCCAGTGATCTTTATCTGGTGTTTAAAACAATCCGTTGTTGCTTGGAATGCTTGGCGCACAAACTGGATTCATTGAGGAGCCGGATAGGACTGATGGAACTGTTCTTATAGTTTTGCAAAGTCGCAGCTAGCACTGCCTGAATATAACCTTGAATATAGATAGCTGCTAAAGATGATTTCCCCTACCTTGTGCCATATATACTGATAGAATAGCACACTAGTCACCAGTTTTGTACAATAAGGAGACTTGCTGCAAAATTTACAAGCAAAGAAGGAACAAGCCATTTTGCTGAGTATAATAGGAAATGTTGTATTACTGTCCATTGTTTACAGAAAGAGCAAAAACTACTTGCCCTTAGCTTTAACGGGTGCTCTAGCCTCAAACTTCACAAACATAACTACAACAAACGGACAGTCAGACTCCAATTCCTGGAACTCAAAGTTATGAGCTAGTAATAGACATATTGAGTTGTTTCATATGCTTCTATGACCTCCTAAAGAAATGCAGTTAAGAACAGAAACAATCACCTAAACCTGACAGTCATACTATACATAAGTTTTGCTATGATTTGTTCTGTGGACTTTGCTAATATGAACTAGAAGCCTAATGAAATCTGTAGGCATAAATACTAAGATGGACGAAGGAGATGCCTACAAGATTCATCAATTGTGATTTGAGGATCTAGTAGTGAGAGAAGATCTCATGTCCACAATGGCAGATTCAGCTGCTCCTAACTTGATTGCCTCTTTGCTTGCTCTTATGAATCTTGATACTGCACCTTTAGTGTATTCATGAGCTTCTTTAACATTCATTTTCTTGCCCATGTCATCTGGGAAGCTACTCAAGAAATGGTCACCATTCAGAACAGCAGCCAATTGCACTACTTCTCCCTGGAACTGAGAGAGTCTTTTATTTTCATCTGCTTTTGTGCTTCTCAATGGAAAAGCATCAGGAAGGACCTCTGTCATTTGATAAGAGGAAACCTCTTCAGTAATTCTTAGCAAGCTTAATTCTAATCTAATAGAAAAATGGCAGAAAGGGTGTAAAACTGGGAGTAATTATAAAGTTTTACAACTCAAAGGCATATCAATCTCTCATGGAAGACCACCTTGTTGATCAAAATCTTATCTCCTAATAGCGCTTTATGTATGTTTTTCTAAGCAGTCCCTTTGATTGATCGATAAGCTAACACTTGAAATATAACTTGATTAATATCTTCAGCAGGCATAACTTACCAGGGCAATCAGTTCTTGGGGAGGTCAATTCCCCAACAACCTGTTCAAAAGTGCCTGCCCATGCATCTCTATGCGTCTAGAAGTTGGATGAGAGATTGAAAATCTTCTTTATGGTAGCAGGGACCGAGGAGTGCTCGAACTCAGAGTTTGGAGTAGGTCCATTTGGCCTGCTTATTACTGCAAACAGGACAAGATCAGCAACTTGCTGAAACAAAAGAGACAATAGAAAGAGCAGACCTTTTCCAGTATATTCCTTTTCTGGGATTATGCAAACCAGGTTTGATGCCCAGCTTATATATGTTCAATTGGAAGAAAACCATGACCCACTAGCTTCATGAAACTGTAGAATATTATAATAGTTCTTATGAATTATATTGGTTAAAAACCTAACATGAGAATAGCAGTCACTAAAACATTATAGAAATTAAAAAAAAAAAAAACCATTTGAATATGATTGTATGAAGAAATCAATGGAATTTCAATTTTCAGATAGCCATGTGCTCATGTGCCAATGCCACTGCTGCTTACCTACTACAACTGAGATGAGGAAATTTTGGTAATACAACAAACAACATCTTGCTGTATCCTGACACATAAATATCATAAAGTTCATGACCATTTTAGAAACAGAACTACTCTTTATGCTTTCTCTTCATCGTTTTTTCCTTCTTCTGATCCATATATAGACAAAGAATGAAAAAATATTCTCCATATCCATTTCCTTCTAATCCATCAAGCTAAAGAATCAATAAGTCCTATATGATAGTTGAGTTAAATGTCAGTAATTGTCTGCGAACTCTTTAAGTTTTGTTACCATTGGACTTTACCCTTCTCTATTTGTAAATTTGAGATACAACATCATACAGTTCTTTGCGCCAGAAGAGCAAAGAAGCCTTAGAAAATGAAGTGAGTTTTACCAGTTCCTTTCTTGATCCAAGGAGACACCATAATTGTTGGAACACGAACACCAAGTCTGTCAAAGTTGAAGAAATAAGGAGCTGGTCCTGTATTTCCATCAGGATTGGGAACATTAGCATAAGGAGTCTGAACATGATCATAAAAACCACCATGTTCATCATAAGTGATGATGAAAAGAGTTTCATTCCACTGAGGACTTGCTCTCAATGTCTCATAAATCTCTTTCACTAGCTTCTGCCCATTAGCAACATCATGCGATGGATGATCATCATTTCCTGGAAAACCGATTAGATCAAAGTACCTAGGTTCAATCACAGTCAGGCTTGGCAATTTTCCATTTCTTGCATCCCTCTTAAACCTCAGATCATACTGATGCAACTTAAAAATATACTTCAGTTTCCTCAAATTCCTGAAGAATAAAGTAGTTGGAAAACTTTGAAAATATATACCAAAATCCAATCCATTGTCATGAAGCGAATCAAATATAGTCTGTTGAGGGTATCCAGTAGCCAACTGCTTTTTCACATGGCTAGTTGAGCCATGAGAAGTAGCAGAGTAAACAAACAGCCTGTTAGGTTGAGTAGGACCAGGAATTGAAGAAAACCATCTATCAAAAACCGCGAATTCACGAACTAGTGCAGCATAAACAGGCAAATTCTCAGGCTTAAAACCTTTCATAACTGTTGCAGACAGATTCTCCGACATGGTTAGTGCTTGTTCAACAAAGCCAGTCATTGAAGGAATTGAACCAGAACCGAATACCTGTTGCAGCACCTCTTCAAACGAGTGACCAGGGTCCGGATCCACAAATTCAGCATCATCAGAAAAGCAGATCCTTTGAGTTTGTTGAGCCTTAGTTGAAACAGGATTACACTCATCCCCTGTTACACCATTAATCAATGGATTGATGTAATCCTTCATCCATCCAATCATATGATCAAAAGATCTGTTCTCCAAGACTAGAACAACAACTGTCTTAATGGGCTGCTGCTGTGCTTGATGAGTGATACGAAAACTTGACAACAGTGCAAGACAAAGCAACATAGAGGAAAATGCAGGTGCTTTAGGCCCAAATTTTCCCATTCTTGATCTTGAACTTTCAATAACAGTGTAAACTAACTCCAACCCAGATTTTTGCCTCCCTCTTAGGATGAGAAATGATGAATTTCTGGATGGAAGAAGTGACTATGGCAATGGAAGAAAAAGTGCAATTAGCAAAAAAGCAATTAGCAAGTAAGGCTGCTCTTTTGTTGTAGGGGAAAAAGAAAAAGTGCAGTAGCAACGTGTAGAAAAATGTTCCTATACTCAAAACATTGTCATAAATGCAGCTAAATCTAGCGAAAGAAAAGCATCTTGATCGAAGAATGAAGGGAAAAAAGAGCTGAGAAAATACGAGAGTTCTGTTCTTCCAGTTCTTATCAGTCAAAAGTCACAAGGGTGCAGTTGTGGTGGGAAACTGTAGTGTAGGAAAATGACATCTGAATGTCTGACTCATATCGCTTTCGATAAGAGGAGGTTAAATGCGGGGCGACGTGTGCAATCCAGCCGCAGTTTTGGCGGAATCTGCTTTCATTCATCAGATTTTGGGTCTTTTTTGTTTTTTCACGGGATAGTCAAGTATTTACGCTTATGTTTTTCAAGAAAAATGTCGGTGGAAAATTGCAAAACTCCCAAACAGTCCTTGGAAATTAGAAAATGGACCGATTTGTCTCAATCTTACAGTTTTGCTCCAATAATTTTGTTGGGAAATATTTGTCTTCAATTTCAGTACCACAGTTTTGTATACCTTAGCAAGTTTCACAAATTGTGCAAGAAATTATTAGCTCACATATAGTGTTTGCCACTTGGTTGTGAGGAAAAATGCTATTTTACTTATGTTATAAATACGCTTTTTAATCAATATTTTATCTTTCTAACGATTGATTTATTCCACATAAATCACATTATAAAAGTGCTATAGCAATTATTGTAAATAATAATTCAAATAATCTCCTGTCCAAACACATTCAGTAGTTCTTTACCCGTAGGGAAAAATATGAAAGTGATGAAGAGTTAATTTCTTTTATTTTTTATATTCTTGGATATTGCTACATTTTGTATCTTGCAAATACACACAAGAATTTTAATAACTATCATTAAATTCACTAACTTCTTACTTTCTTTTAAAATTTTATCTGTAATCAAATATACATGGAAAAGTAACTTTCACTTCAAAATTAAATATAAATATCACGTGATTTATTAGTATTGTTCCAAAATGTTCCCTTAGTATTTTCATGGCAATCTTTACAATACAAAACCAAGAAGCCACCTCTTTCTAATTTAAGCAAGATTGCAACTGGACGTTAAATTGGGCATTGAAAGATGTGTTAGAACAAAAAGAATGTAAGAAATTATTTAACTTGTTTGGTTTTTTTGGATTTTCTTGTTTGTTTTCGTATATAATCAAATATATGGTTTTGTTCCCCCTTTAGCTCAACCGTTGTTTAGTTCATTTAGAAAAGAAACGAAAGAAAAGTTCTATATAACTCGCAATAATAGTAAGAAATTTAAGTATTAACAGGTTATTTTCTCCTTCTCTTCTTTCTCTTGCCCTCTTGATTCTTCATTTTTCTTTATGAGCTTTGTCATACTGAAATCTAAAAGAGTTTATTATGGTAAGTTAAATTCTAGTTTCTACCTTTAAGAATTAGACGAAATTTTTGGGTTTGTTTGATAAGTTTGTTATTTAAACAAAATTAGTTGCTTGCATCATAAACATATTTTTCAATCATCTTTTTTATTTTGCATGCATCATATTAAAAAATTGCTATAATTTTTCTCAAAAAAAAATTATCTCAAATAATCTCCTATCTAAATGCACTTGTTTCTACTTTCTTTCTTACACACTTTCCTTGTCTCCTTGAATGCATCTATTTTTTTTCCTTTCTTTCAAAAGATTTCAACTTTCTTTCTTACACATTCTTCTTGTCTCCTTGAATGCATCTTTTTTTGCTTTTAAAATGATTAACAATTACTTCTCACTTATCTCCTTAATGACTTGAACCTGTACTTATCAATTCGACTGCATTTTATTATTAATAACAAGTACTAGATAGTAATATTTCCATGTTAAATGCCAACGGAAAATGAGTTATTACAGCTTGTCAAAAATGAATTTCAACCAAAGCAATGTAAGCTAAAGAAGCAATCAACTACTTATAAAGTAGTTGGCCATCAAAAAAGTTTTTAAACTCTATTTTGGTGTAGGTCAAATGATCAAATTCTCTTGTCTACATTCTAAAAATTCAGACTTTTCTGAAATATCGTCAATGTGTGCCTACGCACCCGTTTGAATCGGTGATAATTTAGTCACCTCCAGATTATTTTGAAACTCTTTAAGTCTCCTTTTCCTAATATAAAGTAGTGTTCTATTAAAAAAAAATGTATGCAAGAGAAGCCCACTTTAGTGTTTCTCTGCGTTGTTATGGGATACTTTCGTCCATGTGGTGAAATAATTGTGTCCCCTGCAGTCTCCTGGGAAATAATAACAACAACAAGGAATCAATAATTTTTTGTTTTTTTTAAGGCTTTCTACGTGTAAAAACACAAGGATTTGGCTTAATTGCAGTCACTGCTCCAACTTTTCAAACTTTTCCAATGGTGAGATTCTCAAAATTTCTCGCATGTAAAATTATCAATCACCCAACAATCTCTAAAGTACAAAATCTATATACTTTCTCCAACGGAATTTACACTTGAAAGTTGAGAAACTCAAATCGCACAAAATCTGTGGACCTTATGTCTTTGAAATTTACACTTGAAAGTTGAGAAACTCGTACCGCTTAACTCCATATGCACTGGTGTAACGCACATTCATCGACGTAAAGCCTCCAAGCGCACATTAAAAAAATATCAACTGTGATCTTTTGTCAACTTTAATTTCAAGAATTACACAAATTCTCACTTCTTTAGAATCCAATTCAGCACTTAAATTTAATAAATTCAAATCTTAATATATTCAGATCGTTTGATAACCAAAAATTGAACATCTGAATTAATTAAGTGACACTGAATTTTCTAAATAAAATTTGCTCCCAAAATTAAGTGATAAGTGATAAGTCATTCACTTATCACTGAATGTGATATACACTCAAATGTATTAGATTTAATATTTAACAATTTAATAACTTAATGGATTCAGATTTTAGACTTCAATTTTCAGACTTCAGTTTTATCAAACGCACCTTAAGTCCAGTTATTTAAACTTGAACAAAATAATGTGACATAAATATAGAAAAATTAAAAGTTAATAAAAGGGTAGAGACAATGAGAAAGGAAAAACAGTTTACATAATAAATCTCAACTTTAAAGTGTGGAGACAAAAAAGCCCCTCAGGGCTAGAGCTGGTGGTAGTACCCTCGGGGAGTATCACCGCACAGGTTCGAACCCCGGGTAAAACGGTAGGTGAAAAAGTTGGGTAGCCTCTCCCTACCCGCCGAGGATTAGTTGGGTCATTAGATATTACCAGATACCTCTATGACGATAAAAAAAAAAAAAAAAAAAAAAAAAAAAAAAAAGTGTGGAGACATAAAGAAAAAACAGTTTACATAATAAAAGAGAAAAGATAAAAGAAGAAATGTGACAGTTAAGCCTATTGGTCCAGCACACTCTAAACACTTCATGCCAAAAACCCACCAAGTATCAGCATTCTATTCCCAATTTAGGCTGACAAAACCCTAAAATAATGTACGTTCACATTCTCCCCAGTCGTCCGCCATTTCCAGCTCCACCGTGATCCTCCCGTTCTCCGCCGGCCTCACCGTGCCCCGCCCTCATCCCCAATCAGCCTTTTCTTTCTTTCTTTGTCAGGTACATCTTTCATATACACGGACTCCTCTGCCTCGTATTCTTCCTCATTTTTAGTACTTGTGTTTTTTTCCATTTTTGAGTTGCGTACTTTTGTGGCTTTTTTTAAGTGGTTGTCTGCAGAAATTTCAGCGTTGGAAAGGGTGGATTATAATGGAAATGTGCTTGATGATGGGATGAATAAAGGAAGGACTGGTTTAGATTTCTCTGTGTACTTTTTTTAACGGGCTTAATTTATTATTACGCCGGTGTGTGTCAAGTATTGTGTGTTTTTGGCTTTAGTCGGATACTGTGATAAATTTGTGATGGAAATGTAGGTTGTCAAATTCGATAATTTAATGAAACAGCATTTTAATTGTATCAATTCCCAAATTGGCATTCGTGTTCCCCTTTTGTGTCCTTTTGCTCAATCACAAGAAGTTAGTGAAGTAAATAATCTAGAAAAACAGACAGAGCCTTTTGGCTTTGGTATATTGAACTTCTTTATGACCAGGGATGGCAAACTCTGTAACAAGGCATCAGTTTACTGTTTGCAAAATTTGTGCTTGATTATTAGCAGTATTATGTATTTAATAAAAAAAACCCACTGTTTTTGCAGCCCTAGATCTACATTGTGGCCCGCTACCTTTCTTTTTCTCACCAAATGTATGTGGTCCATTTCTATTTAGGTCCTGGATGCACTTGGTTGTCCCGAGCAATCTTATTAGTACCTTCCAGCAATGAAACCAATAGCAAATGGGGTTCCTAGAACCCAGAGGCAGAAAGGCTTTCAGAGCGAGGGGCCTAATTGGGTCCTTATTGCTGGTGGTGCTTTGCTAAGTACGTTATCGATTAGGTTGGGTTACAAGCTGAAACAGGTGCTTGACATGAAGCCACCGGACAATACCAGCAACAGCTTGAAAGGTTATATGACATATGAATAAATTTCATTTCTCCTTTTCATATTTCTTCATGGTTTTGTCTTGAAGAGTTGTTTGACAATTCAGGGAGTGGAAAATTTACAGAGAGAAAGAAGTCAGGGAGCTGCAGTTTGCATCCAAATGCATATTCTTTTCATCAAGATGGGAATGCTTGCTGCAATTGCCTTTCTGGTCTGGCTTCTCTCTAGCCTTAATTCCCCTTCAGCTGGAAGTTATTTTCCTTTTTTAGAACAAATATCCATTCAGATTTTTGGTATATAGGTTATTGCTCCAGCTGAACATGGTTGTTGCTTGATGCACACTTTGGTAGGGCATGCAATCGGTGCTGTTTCATACATGTGGGGGTATTCTTACAACTATGTCCGAGAAATAAGATGCATTTGCTTGTTTTGCACAATTTTCATAGAATTGACACTTCAAAGATGAAAAATGGTTCTTTTGTCTTTTAAATTTCTCCTGAATGAAAAATGAAAAATTGCTTGATTTGTCTTTTAAATTTCTCCTGGATATTGATTGTCCGGTATATGTTTACCTCCACCTTCTTTTAGGTTTATATTGGTCTTGCTGCTGTTCTTTGTGGAGTGGTTGCTTCACATCTTAGATTCTTGTCTTTCTGTATTATAAGGAATATCTCCTCAAAATTTTTTTTATGTAGTTCCATGAAAACTTAAAGACCTTTTTGCTGATTCTGGATGTATTCAGGATTTTATTTATGTCCCTATATAATTCTCTGGTTCATTTTGTGTAATTTCTGGTAATTGATTAATGAATAGGATCTGTGAATGTAATGGAGATCAAACAGCAGCGCAATGGCCAAGTTCTGTCAGAACCTGAAATGGCACTGCCTCTTGTTAAAGTTTCTTCTTCTGAGTTCAGCAAAGAGAATGGGGTAATCTGGGCGTCATCTCCTGACCGCCTTGAGCTTCCTCAGAAACCATTCCACCATTCTAACAGTTCTGATTCACCTTGCGTCTCTGAAGCTGGTTCTGACATTTTCAGTAATCGAGAAGTGATTCAGAAGCTGAGGCAACAGCTGAAGAGACGGGATGACATGATAATAGAGATGCAAGATCAGATTGTAGAACTGCAGAATTCCCTCAGCACTCAGCTAACACACTCTACCCAGCTGCAAGCACTGCTAGATGCTGCAAACAGAGATCTGTTTGACTCAGAGAGAGAAATACAGAGGTTGAGGAAAGTAATTGCAGATCATTGTGTGGGACAAGACAATTGTGGTGATAAGCTTAGCTCCGCACCTGTTTGGCCTGCTGAACTAAGGAATGGCCATTTGAATGAGTATTCCGAAGTTGAGGGACATTTGGATTCCTTGGAGAAAGACAGAAACGGTGGCAAAATTGAAATGCTGCGAAGGGAAGTTAATGAGTTGAGGGAAGTTATAGATGGAAAAGACTACCTTTTGCAGAACTATAAGGAGCAGAAGTCTGAGCTCTCCATGAAAATCAAGGAATTGCAGCAAAGATTGGATTCTCAGCTCCCAAATATTTTGTAGTGTGGCTGCTCTCTGTGTATTCTTCTTTGGCTTCTAACTTATGTTTTCTTGGTCTAAATCGCTTGCAAATCCCAAGTTTTGGTAAAGCATCATTTCTTTTTTCGTTTGTCGGTTGATAAGCAGCAGTTCTTGTGGGGTTCGTGTGTATATGATCTCAAGTTGAGAGTAGAGAGTTTTAGTTGAAGTTGGGAAACCGTTAGCGTAGTTGTTTTCACTTGAAGCTTCACTTTGTATTTGGCAGTATCAAAATGTCCATTCTGCATTCTGAATTCTCAAGGCATGAAAGTGATCCAATTCCACTTTAGTAGCCGATGGATTTCCATTTCAAGCTTGAGATTTCACAATATATTATGGTATTTTATTACAATTCCATATGCAAATGCTGTTTTAACTGACAAGTTGATGTTCATAAATTTATAGGAATTTCTTGTACCGCTTTCTTTCAAGTTACATGGATAATGGTAATTTCCTAGCCAAGTCGTATGTTCACCTTACTGATATTCTATTTACTCGTGCATATTATTACAACTTAGATAATACGTAGAAATTAATGGGTGATCAACCTTTTCAGCAATACGTGCTAAATAATGGGTGATTGACTCTCTCAATCTGTCAATGCTTCAATTGAATATATATATATATTTCATTGCTTAAACCATCAAGAAGTCCTCCTATAATGTTGTAAAAACTCTCAACATATAAGGCAATTTTTTGACAATTCAGAGAAGTTTTAACTACATAAATAATTCTTGTAACTTTTATGTTTCTAATACTAGGAGGAGGTGCCCGCGTATCGCGCAGGTGTTTAGTGCCTGTGATTAAAGAGAATTTTTTAGTGGTTGAAATGAATATTATTTCCATATTAACCAATAAGTTATTTTTGATCAAGAACCTATCGGTACATATCATCCATATTGTTGCAAGGTGAGCAAGTGAATAAATATAAGAGTAAGATAACAATGCATATTAAGTAATATTAATAAAATTATTGTAAATAATAATGCATATTAACCGAATCCTACTTAATATGAGTAAAAGGAAATGCATGGATAATGGAGTAATTTAGAGGGCATTAAACCTAATCCTGGAAGCCGAAAAGGGACCAAAAGGAAGAATGTGAAAGAGGAGACATTGGAACAATCATAATCGATACTTAGACATTAAATCATCAACATACCTATGTTTTTGGCTGTTTAATTGAGATGTAAATAGTGGTATATTGCTGGTATGGAAGCTGTTTCAAAGACAGGGGTTTCTAACATGGGAATTCATGCATTGGTATTATTATGAGTTGTTTCACATAATTGAATGAATAGCTGCAAGTCTCTTTATTTTAATTGCACTATGACACCATTTCAGTAAATTACACCAATACATATGCTTATATTAGTTGTACCCAATGCACTAATGATTGCAAAATAATCCCTCAGTCCAAAAATACCCAGATGTCTTTATGCTATATAAGAATGAGTTTTGGTCAAATTTGTCAAATGCTACTGTATGATAACATCTAACAATCATTTCATTTGGTGCAATAGCTGATAAATTAAGTAGGTAAAGATTTTACAAATTATTAGAAATTGAAGTTATTAACTTGTATAAATTAAGATCCATTTTTAACTACTTTGGGAGCTTTGTTTTTGTTAAAATTGTAATAAAGTATTTACAAGGATCTTCAAAAGATAAGAATATGTTTGTCCGTATAATTTTTCGGTAGTACTAAATTTGCTATAGTTTCAGTCAATTGGTGATAAAACAACTCCAACTTCAATTGAATTTTGGAACTATTTATCTGGCATAATTTGTGACAGGGTGTCGAGCCTGTGCAATAATAATTACCTATTCAAGAAAAATACAAATTCTGAATATAGCGGTGAGCAGAGTCGAATCCACAGGGACCGGGGATAATTCGTTTCTTTTAGAGTCCAAAGTATGGGGGGTTTTTGGAGAATATAAAATAACTAATTAGCTACTCTTAACTCATTTCTGCAATGAGACTCAAACACTTCCGGTATAACAAAATCAATCTCATTAACAGAAATTATAGAGTAAGAGTCAGGGGAATATAGATTAAGGGATGGAGTGGGTGTCATCGCATTTAGTAATTGCTTACTGGATTCGTTCACTAGGGTAATTTGATGTTGGAGTCTCATGTCTTCCACTTCAACTTCCTTTTCAACTGCATTTTTGGATCCTCCTTCTTGAGACTCTTGCAGTTCCATATCACTTGTCAGGATAATTGCACTCTCACCTTCCTTAGAGTCATTGATGGTCTGTGAGGGCAATTCTGACATGAATGACGATTGTTGAGACTCTTGCTGTTAAAAACTCATTGGTCCCTTTTCATAATTAACGTTGGAGTTATCCCACCATCCTTGATCATACCGTTTTGAATAAGGGTCATACCACGTTTGAGATCGAGGTGAAGAATCTCCAAATTTTTTTTTGAAATAGTCACTCAGGTAGTCTTGATATTCGGGGCACATACCGGTTGAATGATCCCAGGCATAACAAATTTCACAGGTTGCAGCAGCCATTCTTTCTCTAAGAGAGTTTAGTACCTCTGAATATGCAAACTTAGAAAAAAAAAAAACAAGTCTTATTGCCTTCCCTGGAAACAAAATCCAATCTATCACCAAAACACGGAATGTTAGCAGCCATCAACTATATACAAAAAAAATGAGGAAAATAAATTTACAAAAAAAATGAAAATAAAATGAACTAAAAAAAAAGAAACAAATTAATCTAGCACCAGTTCCCGACAACGGCGCCAAAAATTGACAGGGTGTCGAACATATGCAATAATAATTACCTACTCAAAAAAAATATAGATTCTGAATATAGCGGTGAGTAGGGTCGAATCCACAGGGATTGGGGATAATTCGTTTCTTTTAGAGTCCAAAGTATGGGGGATTTTTGGTGAATATAAAATAACTAATTAACTAACTAATACAACAACTAATAGAAATTAATAGAAATTAATCAATAACCAATATGACTCTAGCCAAAGATGCAACTTTTCAGACACGGTCCATTCAACTGATCATCGATGCAAAGATAATTCAATTACTCACTACTAGATTGGTTGTAGTTGTCATACACGCGATGAACAACCAGCATTTCCTTAATTTTTTGATAATTAAGGTACGACCGTTAACTATTTCTCTAACCAAGTAATAACCCTAGATACGACCATAGGATTTAATTACTCGATTGCATTAATAATTAGAAAAGCCCAACCCTAACCAACAAACACGCTACGAGGGTTTGTTTAAATTAGATCATACGTTTCCCTAACATGAAACCAATCACGCTAGTCGCCACTGGTATTAATCAATTGAACAATTACGGATTCAATCAATTAATTTGGCATTAGATCATTAAGTTAATTTGAATATCGGGCCATTGATATTCAAATAACATAACAAGCATAAGCAATTAAATCAGGAAACGTACAAATACCAATGAATAAAAGAAATAAATAAAATTAATTCGATCTCACAGATATTTGGAACCGCGCCTTTAAGTTGGCCTTCGACTAGATGGAAGGTTTAGCCACGCCTCTTGAATAAATCTTCATGCAAATTAATTGAGTGCAAAGGCATCCCGTTTTTCACTAGAAAGCAAGAGTAAAAGATATTTTTTCCATTGGAAAATATTGTCGAACAGTTGGCGTGCGCCTGACAAAAGGAAAAAGAAGAAAAACTCAAAACTAAACTAAACTATCCTAAAACTATTGATATCTACCTTGTATGTAAGAAAAGAACTAGATTTAATGCTTTCCTTTCCTCTTGCCACATGGCTTCTTAATTATCTGACAGGTGGCAAGGTAAAGGATTTCCTTGCAAATTGTCTAAAGCTTCTCTTGTGCGAAGCCTGCTATTTCTTTTCCTTCTTTTGCCATTGCACCGTTTTTCCCTCAAATTGCATTGAAGCGTTTTCCTGCTCTCTCTACCACGCGCCTATTCTATAAGAAAAGAGCCAGATTTAATGCTTTCCTTTCCTCTTGCCACATGGCTTCTTAATTATCTGACAGGTGGCAAGGTAAAGAATTTCCTTGCAAATTGTCTAAAGTTTCTCTTGTGCGAAGCTTGCTATTTCTTTTCCTTCTTTTGCCATTGCACCGTTTTTCCCTCAAATTGCATTGAAGCGTTTTCCTGCTCTCTCTACCACGCGCCTATTCTGAGCAAAATTCAGTACACCTATTTTGCGCAAGTCCAATCCCAACCGGCTATGCTACCAAACCCAGCCGGTCAACACCCCTCTTCAAGCCTTCTATTCCTTTTCCTTCTTTTGCCATTGCACTGTCTCTTTCCCAAATTGCCGTTGAACCCTTTTCCTCCCTTTCCTCTACCACACGGCTATTCTGAGCACAAATTCGGCGCACCTATCCTGAGCAAGCCCAATTCCAGCCGTCTGTGCTACCAAACCCAGCAGGTCAACAACCCTCTTCAGCCATGTAAAAAGTTTGGATTTTCTATGATTTGGGCGATGGGTTTTGTGACTTTCTTCTTTAAGCCAGCAGGTTAGCTGCTACTCCTGCAGGTGCTTGATTTGCTGATCATTCACATGGTCTTTGTACTTTAGAGCAGGAGAATTGGGTGTAGGTGAACTACTTTGCTTACACTAGCCGTTTTTCCCTCTTTCTCTAATATCCAATTAACCCGTTTCTGTATCAATTTCATCTCATGTTGCCGAATTGTTGGAGCCTCACGTGATAGTTGTACTTCAAAGGAGTGAGATGGAGAACTTTTTATTAGGTATGCCATTCTATTCTAATCAACTTTGGTATTCAATTTTCCGCCCAAATTATGCTTTCTATTCAACTTTCATCATCCGTATGATTACGATTAGAAATATCTGCTTGGATGTGATTTTTCTCTTATTCCAGTTATGCTGAGAAATAGGGTTCCTATTCACTTAGCCTGTACCTTTTCCAGTGGCTTACGAAATCAAAAAAAAATGGGATGGACGTATTTATCAGTGCATCCTGCTGCCTTCTCTGCCTTGTGAACTGCAAGAAGAAGCCTCCGAGCCTTTACGCCTTGTTCTTTGGAGTCCTCTCTGGTGAGAAAAAAACTCCCCCTTTTTTTTGCCAAATTTTCCTCTTATGAATAGTTCGCAGATTAATAAATTCTAATATACAGATATTTTCAATTCATAGGTTCCTTTTGCTGCAGTTCCTTCGAGGAATCTTTTAACTTGAAGGTCAGTTTGTTGCCTTCCTTCAATCTATCAACATTTTTTCTTTATTTAAGTGCCTATATTTTCATAAGTGAAATTTCACCTTTCCCTTTTCTTTTTAGTAGTTTTTCTTCAGTTTCTGCTTCATTTATTTTAAGTTTATTGGTGCTATTTGTTTTGTGTCATCCTTTATGAAACAAACGATTGCTTATTTGAGCAGGTGATTTTGTTAATTTGAAATATTTGATTAAAAATCTTTCTTATAGACATGGGCTTACAAAAATATTGCTGGGTACCAGTTTAAACGATGAATATTGGGTTGTAAAGGATGCATTATGAGGTGTGTGGAATAGTTGATTGTATGCTATCTTTATCATATTCTGGCCTTAAACTGTGACGTAGTTAATTCAATCTGGCTAGCTTTAAAGATTGAAGTTCCAATTAATTCAATCTGGCCAGCTTTAAAGGTTGAAGTACCAAGTTCACTATTCCCCTTGTGAAGCGCATATGCATGCTATAAATCAACACAAAGGACATCAGGTTGAACCCCTTGCTTGGGTAAGCCTGTGTACAGGAGAAATTGATGGGTTAAGTAAATCTCATATTGTTGCCTAACAACAATTATTTCAGCATAATATTGTGTCCAAAGTTATTTAATGTAGTCTAGAAATCATAACTTTTCTATCCTAAGCACTATTGTACTTGTCATTACCATAGCCTTCTGTAACAAGTTCAATATTAACAATATTTGAAATTTAATAACATTCAAAAGAAGTACATACGGATGGACCAACTTGGAAGAGTAACTGAGCTTCAAGAGTCAATTACTCTGCTTATATTTTTGTAGGAACTAAAGAATAGAAAAGACACATTTTAATTATTTCCAATACACTAGATGAAACCTTGCAAGCTTTCAAATTTTTCCTGATGAATTCCGATTCTATAAATACAATGAGAAAATCCTGAATTTATTGCAAATGTTCATTATCATGGTAATCATCCAATTTTATTCTTTTTTTGTAGTATATAATTATATTTTAATTAGTTTTGCCGAAAAATTGGAAATCAATAAAACTTGCTTGGTGCTTTGCGGATAGTTGATATAATCTACTGTGATCTTTTTCTAAAACTATTTTTAAATTTTTATGCCTCTTAACTATTTTTAATTTTTTTGCATAAAACTAATTTTGTGCAAACACAATAAAAAAGTATTGTTACTCAATTATCAAGTTGAAAATATGCGTATCCACATTCCATGTAAACTGTCAAACATAAAATGGCCTTGTGTCTTTCTTGCTTATGTTGTTTGGTACAATGTTGTCGCTTTCTTATTAGACTCTTGAACTTTTAGCTTTTCTGGATATCATTTTTGAATCTTGACTTCATTTTCACTACTAATATTCGATAGGGTTAACTGCTCCATCATACACTAACATTTTCTGATGATTTTATTAGGTTTTTCAACTTTAAAATTCTCCATTTGCCTCCTATATATTTCAACACAAATAAATGCAGTATTTCAAACTTTCTATGGAAAATCAATAGCTTCTCTTCCTGGAATCATTTTCACAGTTCGACCCAAAGCTTCAACGCAAACACTAATCTGCCATTAAAATTTTAGCTAAGATTTCAACTTGACTCTAATGTATGATCTTAAGGTAGTTAAAGTAAGCAAAAGCTCTTGAAAATGTCAAGTCATATTAGACAACAGGCATTCATTATGTCTATGACAGCTTGATTATCTCAAGCTTAGATTTTTTTTTGGTAGGTATCTCATGCCTAGAATAGACTAAATAACAAATTATTGCTCAGAATTAAAAGCTGTTAACCCATTTGCTGATGTTATTCTAAGTAACTAAGCTGTCCTTTTGGTTTGCATATAATGAGTGTTCTATCAAATAGTCAAATTGCTATATACACACTAGAAAAAAAATTGTAGTGATGGACATCAATAACAGATTTTATGCACCAAAGTCATTTCCAACCTCCTGGTACTGATGCTTTGGTCTTTAATCACAATGAAGCTATACAGACTCTAAGTTAGTTTTTCTTACAATATACATGTTTGCTATATGTGACCTGTTGTTGTTCTAAATGAGGAATGGGAGTGCTTATCTATTTTTAAGATAATATTAAGCTGGCCAGCCTTTTTTAGTGATCTAAATGCCTATTGGTTAAGCAGCTTAAGACTTTGTACTTCTTGTTTCTAATTGCTTACTTAGTGTGTTCCTTGTTTGCTGTTTCGTTTACGCTAGACTTGTCTGGGGCAATGAAAAACTCAATGGTTATTTTTTAAGGATATTGTATGTAGACCATTCTTCGTCTGTTATTCATTGTAGTCTTTTTACTCAAAGCTCATTCACTCATTTATATGCCTAGCAGTTGAACATCTTAGGTTATTATGCCTGTTTTATCCCAAGTACATACACTCTATTTTTTGGCTTGAAATTGCAGAAGTATGTGTAAATATATATGTTAATCTTATCTAGATGTATCATTAGGTCCCCTAATAGCATTAATTTGACTACCATTCGAGCTGAATCGGGAAGAAAACAAATTGCAGTAGGATGTAGTTCTTGAATTGAGGAGTTGGCTGCTTTTAATCATTCATGTATTTGACAAAGGTGAAAGTGCCACTTATGGGAGTCGGTCTTGTCTTTGTGGACTAAATGGATTTCTTAAGGTCATAAAGCTGCAATACTCATTTCTGATTTTGATCTCCTTTGGTGTAATGAACATACTTTAATGTCCTTTTCAAACTTGTTTCTGTGCCTTGAAGAGTAGAGAACATTTTCTTATCTTTATAACTGGACTTCATTAATTGATACCTTCTCTAACTTTGAAGCTGCTCTATATTTGTTTTCTGTTCTTATTTTCCATATTTCTTCAGTAACTTATCTTTTTTCCCCTCTCCAGAATTACCACTTAATATGGGGCATGGACAATTATCATTTTATCAGCAATTTAAATAAATTACAGTAATGGATGCTAATCCCAATTCCCAGACATCATGAACTTATAACCCATACTTGGAACATCTTAATGTATCTAAATTGATTACAACTTTATAGCTCAACAGCTCATATAGCAAACTAATGCAAGCATTATCATTTACTGTTTTTCTTTGCCCCCTTTTGTCTATGCTCTTTCCCTGATATTTTTTTTTTCCTGTGTTTTGTTGCTTGGATAATGTACACCTCATCCTAGGCGCAAAGCTTTTTGCATTTCCCTATTTGATTTATCGTTGCTGTTACCAGGTATGCCTAATGCTTCAGCCTGACTTTTACACAAAAAAACCTGTTGTTAGCTGTATTGTCTCCTTAGTTCATGTTTTTTTATGCTTTTGCTATTAGACTTTGATGGCTCTATATCCTCAATTCCTTTAACCTCTGTTTAGTCGTATGTCCAGTTGGTTTTACATTTATTCTGTAGTTGCTTTCTGTTTATTTGATTGTCTAATATTGTTTGCGTAAGAGTATATAAACAACCATATAATATAGACCAATTATATGATTGACTAAATTGTGATCGAGATATCTGATAGTCAGTCATTACATTAGAGAAGTTCCATTAGCTATTTTATCCTGTCTGCCTTGATGGACTAGCATCCTTCTTTTCTTATATATTTTGTCACAAACGAGCCTTCTGAGAATGCTACTGGCATTCCTCCATTTGAGGTGACTCAAAAATATGGATAAAGTTAGTTATAGAAAACAAGCTATTCAAAGATGGAGGCAAAAACGGTTAGATAGGCTATCGCGACTTCGTGGCTCGAGACCCTCAAATGTAATTAATGTTCCTCACTTGCTTCCTATAGGGCCAAATAACAGCCAACTATCTATGAGTAGATCACTTCCATTTCTACAAAATCAATTTCTTGCTATAAGAAATAATGGAAGTCAAAAAAATATGGGATATAGAAACAAAAAATCCCAAAGAGATGGCTTGCTTCACTCCATATCTCTAGAATCACATCAGCCATTTCTTCTTAGACGCCCGAACGTCCATTCTATCCTGCCAACCAATTCAAATGACACAGAAGCATCCATGAATATGTCATTTATATTTGCACCACTTGAGCCTTCCAGTATAGCCTATAACAAAGAGGATCATCTTACATTAAAACCTGATATATCTCAGATGCATTGTATGCACGAAACAGAGCAAATAGAAGCTCAAAATGCTAGCTGCTCTAGGTTTGTGACTCACCCTATTGAGTCTAGTATGCCTCGTCCTGTGAACCCAGCTACTTTGCTGTTTGCAAGTTCAAATATGGTGCATTCAATTGTCAATGCGCCATCTGAATTCTTGGCAACAAAAAATCCTGTTGCAGCAAATAATAGAAGGCAAAGATCTGTGATACTAAAACATAAAAGGTGCCAAGAAAAAAAGAAATCTAAAAGTTCGCCTACCAAACCTCAACTTCCTCTTCCTTCAATTGTTGCCATCCCTGCAGTGGATACTGTGCAATCAAAATCAATTCAATATGAATCCACAGGTGCTTGCCTTAATCCCCTCCATTAATATGCTATTAAAGTCAAACCAGCTCATACAGTTTCATACCAGTATTTTATTCATATCATTATTTTCACTAATTTCTGCATATTTTCCAAGTTAACCGTTTTAAGCTTTTGTAAAAGTATATGCCTTCTATTCACTGTCAACCAAAATAGGTCTGTAACATTAAAAATATTATGTGATTTTATTTTAAACTCATTTTGTCTTTTAAAGCCTTTTTTATAAATTCCAGCTTCCTATGCCTTCAATCTTAGAATTAAATCAATTACTCTAACTTATCATTCTATAAACTATAAAATTAATTTTATACATTTTTCGTGACCTTTTCACATTTAGAACAATTCACTTGGCTACTAGAATGATCATCCTTTTACAAACAGTGTTTTCCAGCCCCTTTAGTGTACCATGAAAAAACTTTAACCTTAGATAAAGCTTTCCCATAAACATAGACTTTTTACCTACTATACCCCTTAGCGCTTTTGTTTAACTTATACCATATTCTATCCAGTTTCGGTAGCAAACACTTAAGGAATAGATAGAGCCATACTCCAATCAAACCAAGTAAAGCCTAAGAGAAAGCGTGCAGGTTTTGTAAACTTTTTAATGTCTTACTAGCTTCAGTTTTTTAATTTCTACTTCCCTGCATTACACAAAATGAATAACTAGATATCTTTTCTTTGTCGATTATAGCAAGAACGCCAAAAACAGGTCGGGAGGTCTTAAATCACATTCCTACTGCTGCTGATCTGCTTCCTCGCCAATGCAACTGTCCCCATTGTAGTGCAAAAAATTTGCTCATGAAACAGCAAATTTTTGTTATTCTAATGGGGATGTTATTTTAGCTAGCAATTCAATCCCAACTGTTCTAAAAGAACTTCTTATGTCATCATCTGAGGAAGCTCAACTGTTTAGGACCTGTATTAGAACCATTAATAACACATTTGCTTTCACTTCCTTTGGAGTAAAATGTGATAAAAATTTGGCTAAGAGAAATAAGGGCATTTATACTTTTAAAGTGTAAGGTCAGGTCTATCATTTCATCAATGATTTAAAGACCTCAAAAAATTTGCAATTCTATTTTCATGGCAGTGAAAATGAATTAGCAAATCGATTAGATGCCTACCCAAGATTAACTGAGAGTATTCTCCAAAAAACCATGAATCTCATGCAGCAAAATCCCTATGCTAGATTCTTTCACGGCTTGAGAGAGGTTCATAACCTTGATACTTATCGCATTGTTTTACGAACACACCCTGGTTTAGACCAAAGAGTATTCAATAAGCCTACAGTGTCCCAAGTTGCTGCTTTATGGGTAGAAGGAGAAGAAAATGGAGAAACAAGCCGTCGAGATATTCGAGTGTACACCCATGGTGGCCATTCACACAATATCCAATATTACTATGGCTGTTATGACCCTCTCCAGTACCCTCTTTTGCTTCCTTTTGGTGAATCTGGTTGGCATCAAGGGATTAAAAAACACGGGAAAAAGGTGCACAAAAAAAAGACTAGGAAAAGGGATGCTCAAATTTCTATTTCTCCAATGAATGCTTCTACTGCCGAAGAGTTAATACAAATGGAACAAGACTGTAAGTAGAATAAATCTTTTCCACCTGTATTCTATTAATTTTAGCATGCCAGCCTCATTAACCTTCTTTCTAAATTCCTTCAACCAGTAATGGCAGGAATAGACGGCGATCCTGATTTCGTTTCCATCCGTGAATACTATGTCTATAAATTGCAAATGAGAAATGATGATGAATCTTTCTTATTGCACTTTGGTAGGCTATTTCAGCAATATGTTGTTGATATGTATGTTAAACTTGAATCACAAAGATTAGATTATTTGAGAACCCAGCAAGAAGAATTTAGAAAAGAGTTCTTACAAGGTATAGTAGACTCAATAGGTACTGGTGAAGTCCGGGCAGCAAATGTAGGTCAAAGAGTATTTTTACCAGCTAGCTTTATTGGAGGACCAAGAAATATGAGAAGAAAATACATAGATGCAATGACTTTGGTCCAAAAATTTGGCAAGCCGGATATATTCTTGACCATGACTTGCAATCCCAATTGGCCAGAAATAAAAGAACATTTACTGCCGACAGAGGAAGCCCAAAATCGACCAGATTTGGTTGTAAGGGTCTTTCGTGCTAAACTAGAAGAATTAAAGAATGAACTTTTGAAGAAAAATATTTTTGGAGAAGTGGCAGCCTATACATATGTGATAGAATTTCACAAAAGAGGCCTGCCACATGTTCATTTTCTTTTAATCTTAAAGCCTCAGCACAAAATGTTCATCCCTGATGAATATGATAAAATTGTCAGTGCAGAAATTCCAGGTAAAACAAAATATCCGCACCTGTACAGAATGGTTAAAAAACACATGATGCACGGCCCTTGTGGTGTGTTGAACCCATCAAATGTTTGCATGACTAAGCATGGCTGCTGCAAAAATTCTTATCCAAAAGAGTTTTCTGAGCAGACAATTCAGACGCTAGATTCCTATCCACAATACCGAAGAAGAAACAATGGTGTTAAAATTAAAGTCAGAAAACAAAAACTTGATAATACATGGGTTGTTCCTCATAATGCATATTTACTTGCTAAGTTCAATTGCCACATTAATGTTGAGATCTGCTCAACAATTCAGGTTGTCAAATATATTTACAAGTATATCTGCAAAGGACATGATCGAATCAGTTTCCATATCAATTCTGATAATCCAAACAATCAGATTGATGAAATTCAGCAATATCAGGCAGCTCGGTGGGTTTTCCCGCCTGAAGCTGTTTGGCGATTATTTCGATTTTCCATGGGAGAAATTAAACCAGCTATCATTCACCTTCAATTGCATCTTCCAAATTTTCAGCCAATTCACTTCAAGAAGCATGAAAATTTAAATAACATAGTCAAAAATCCAAGAAATAGGAAGACAATGTTGACTGAATTTTTCTATATGAATAGAACAGATTCAGTTGCACAAGAACTAAATTGCATATACGTTCAATTTTCAGACCATTTTGTCTGGTTAGCTGATCAAAAACGCTGGAAAATTAGAGATAGGGGAGATTTTATAGGCCGAATAAATACAGCTCATCCATCTGAGGGAGAAAGATATTACCTTAGACTTCTTTTGTCTAAAGTTCGTGCTCCAAAGTCTTTTGAAGACTTAATGACTCATAATGAAGTACAAGTTACCACCTTTCGTGAAGCAACTCTCTTGCGTGGCCTACTTGAGAATGATAATAGCCAGGAAATTTGCCTACAAGAAGCGTCTCTTTTTCATATGCCTTATGAAATGAGACGACTTTTTGATACGCTATTAGTTTATTCCTGTCCTAGTGACCCCAAACAGCTATGGACAAAATTTGAGGCTGTCATGTCCGAAGATTTCATGAGAAATACTGATTTGTCTCCTAGAGAAATCAAACGAAAAGTTTTAGAGCAAATAAATGGTTTTCTACAGTCAATGGGAAAAAATATAGTTTCATTTGGCTTACTTCCTAATAATTTCTCATTCTCAGATGTAGACAACCAAACAAGAGATGTATTGGCTGAAAAAAGCATAAAAGTTTTTGAAGAGGACTTAAATGCGATTTCTTTGCTTAATCAGAACCAAAGGCATGCATTTGAAGCTATATCTAAAAGAGTTTATGAAAATAAGAGTGGTGCATTTTTTGTTGATGGCCCTGGTGGAACTGGAAAATCTTTTCTTTATAGAGCGTTGTTAGCTGATATTAGATCAAAGGGCTATATAACATTAGCGACAGCCACATCAGGTATTGCTGCATCAATGCTACCTGGAGGTAGAACCGCCCACTCTCGGTTTAAAATACCAATTGATACCTCAAAGGGCAGAGCATGCAAAATTAGTAAACAAAGCAGTTTGGCAAGTATGATTAAGGAATGCAAATTAATTATTTGGGATGAGGCTCCAATGTGCAAGAGATCTGCGATTGAAGCGTTAAATGATTTTCTTAAAGATCTTATGAATTCAGATAAGATCTTTGGTGGGAAAGTAATTATTCTTGGGGGTGATTTCAGGTAAACCTTACCAGTGGTTCGTAAGGGAAGCCAATCTGAAACCATTGCTGCTTCTTTGATTAATTCCCCTATCTGGCCAGCTCTTGAAAAATTAGAGTTCACACAAAACATGAGGGCTCGATTTGCTCCCTCATTCACTGATTACTTATTAAGGGTTGGTGATGGCACTGACCAAGCTGAAGATGACAGTCTCATATACCTGCCTTCTTCTATTTTGGTTAGCAACGGTTCACAGAATGCATCACTACATGATCTGATAAATGTGGTTTATCCCCACATTCATTATAGATCAGAAAATCCTGCCTTGCCATTAAATCGAGCAATCCTCACCACAAAGAATCATTTTGTGGATGAAGTGAATGATATCTTAATTGATAAATTTCCAGGTACAGCAGTAGAATATCTGAGTTTCGATCGAGCTTTGAATCCAAACAACCAAGTTCAATATGAAGATTTTTTAAACTCCTTATCTCCCAGTGGCCTTCCACCCTATAAACTAATCTTGAAACCTGGTGTTCCTGTGATATTGCTTAGAAAACTCGACCCTACTGAGGGTCTTTGCAATGGAACAAGATTAATTTGTAAAAGTTTGAGGAAACATGTCATTCATGCTCAAATAGCTGTAGGAGATTTTGCTGGAAAAGATGTCTTCATCCATAGAATTCTCTTACAACCTCCAACTGATGAACAATATCCTATTCCATATACAAGGACTCAGTTTCCAATTCGCTTATGCTTTGCCATGACAATAAACAAAGCTCAAGGACAAACGCTTGATTATGTTGGTATCTATTTGAAGGAACTAGTGTTTTCCCATCGGCAGCTCTACGTTGCATTATCGCGAGCAAGAACTGCTTCTCAAGTCAAAGTGCTCATTAAACCTCCATTTTTTGATAAGCCTAGAACAGACCAGACAAAAAATATTGTATTTAGAGAAGTTCTTGAAACTTCTCGCATAGCTGCCAAGTAATTATGTTATTTTAGGATTCAGTTCCAGTTTTCTTGAATGTTCCAGAATTTCTTCTCTTTTAACTTACAAACTGATTATGTGTCTTTCTTATTATTATAGATAACAATGGCAAGGAGATGTCTATCAGTGCATGAAGTCCACGACAAGATGAGAAGGTGGACAGTGCTTGTGCAAGTTATGGAGAAATCGCACGTGTTAACCAGTAACAGATCACCGCCTATCAGATTTCAGCGCCTCGTGTTAACAGATTCTGAGGTAATATAAGCTGAAACTGATCTTAGCAATTTAACATTTTCTAAATCATCAACATGTCCAGATAATTAATTATCCTCTATGCAATTTAATTTCAGGCCGATTACTTTTTAATATTGCTTTCTTTTTATGTTTCTTGGGTAATATTGTTCCGTTGGAACTTAAAATACCAATGCTTGCAAATTGACTATAGTGAAATCTTGATTTAACTTACATGATTCTACCCTATAATATTACAAGGTTTATTATTAACCAATGATGTATGCCTAATCGGTTTAACTTTCTGTATGGGAGATCATATATAGTGATTTGAAAATGTTACAGTTTGGATGCATTTGAGTGCCTCAATGTGCATTCAATGACTAAAACAAAGTGCAGAAGACTAACGGAAATGATTTATAGCAAAAGAGAAAAACACAGCTCTAATACCCCAAGACCATCTCATTTCCATTCTGGCAACTTTTTTTTTTTGGTAGAATTGAATGTGTAGCCGTACAGCCTATGCCAAGTCAGGAGACCAGCCATCTTATCCCTGTTTTTCCGCGTTTTGCTTCTTTGGCTTAATGTTTTTGGAGACTTTGAACTTTGATAGAAGTACTTCCATCTCATCTTCACCTTTTAATCGCACCTAATCTGTCCTGATTTCCAAGAAAATTTTTCCCCTTACCTTTTATCTATATTTGCACGTCTTTTTCTGTAATCACACTCTTTTGCAACGTGTTATCGTGTTCACTACTGCTGTGAACACGTTTTTAAAGATCCAACAAAGGATGTAAAACGAAAAGGGAAAAAAAGATAGGTATTGCAACTACAAAATGCTCATTTTGATCTAAGTCAGTTAGGTGCATCACCTCATTTCTGCCATAAAATATTAACAAGAAAGCAGATATTCGCCCAATCCCTTCAAATTCTCCATCTTCTCCTATACAGACAAGAATATACATATCCAGCCCCCTTTTTTTTATTTTAACAAGTGGGCTCAAACTTAAATTACGAAGCCAATTTGGTCAAAGTGTCACTGCTGCCAAAATACTTAAATGTTCTAAATGCAGTAATTTAATCTATCTCTGGAGTTTTGCAGGTCATTAGACTATTTATATTGTGATTAGGTTTCATTAGGTAGGACAAACTCCCGTACCAAAGCATAACAGCCAGTATTTGCCAATATTGAAAATATATAGGAGAGAAAGCAACTCACAGATAAGGAAAAGTTCTAAGAGTACCCTGATTACTTCGTTAGTTCAACTTATAGATATAGGCAACAGCACCTGCAATGCATTTGGGCCAAAAAAAAGGGAAAAAAATGAATGGGAGCATTAGAGCATAGATTATAGACATAGGCTCTGTATATCCAAGTTTTTGCATGTTAGTTTTGTTGCCCTTTTTTGCTTGTCAATTGCTAATACATATGGTACTTTCTTTGAACCCAAAAAGGGACATTCAATATACAATATCGTAGATTGATTTTACTTTATTAAACACATTGTACAAGTAGAGGACAATTGGTCTCGTAATCCTCTTAACAAATTGGGTGAACTAAACACCACAAGGTTGAGAAAAGATGTAGTTGCTACTAACGTGACCAATAGCTGCTAAAGTATTTGTACAGAAAGCGTTTTAGATTTTTGCTACTTCAATTCTTTCGAAGAGTCCTGCGTTTTCGCCTGTTACATATCCCTGGATCTGAAATACTTTTTTTCCCTTTAAGGAAAATTGTGGCAAACGATAGCAGTCTCTTGATAACATTAATTGATAGCAGTCTATTGTCAAATTCTGTTCTGCTTTTTCTACCATTTTCCTTCATAAATGTCTCTGATTATTCTTAGTGATTTGCTTCTTGCAACTCAAACATTGCTGTTATATGTTTTCTTCCCCCTCTCCCTTCTCACCTTGAGTGTTGTACTTCAGCCTTTTGGTTAGTATTGCTCATCTTGGTTCTTTCTATGAACAGGGGACTATGGTTTCAACTGTCATTTATGGAAACGACATTCGTTATTTTGCTAATCTGCTGCAACCGTTCAAGTAATACTATATCACTGGTGGGACTGTCAAAAAATAGGATGCAAAGTATAAAGTTAGTGACTATCAGTTCTCATGGGTGCTTCATAACAAGACATTAGTTGAAGAGTATGTTGAGCCAAATCCACCAATGCTACCATGCACTTTCGAATTGACCAAATTTGAAGACCTTTTTAGGTTCGCAGTCACAGAGAATGTTCAGAGTAAGTTATATCTATGCTTTACTGTTTGAAATATAAATTCATTTTCATATTTCCTTTAGCTATTGAAACACAGCTAACCCCTTCTCTTTTGGTTTGTACTAAGATTTACAAGCTGTTGTTGTCACTGCATTTGCGACAAAGGAACAGAATAACGGGTGTAAAACAAGAGACTTCATTGTTGTGAATGAAGAGTTAGTTATATAGACCTTACTTTTAATATTCCTATTCAAGGCATAAAACTGTTGCATTCACATTTTTCCCCATTTTTCCTCTTCTTTGTAAAGGAAAAAGCCAATGCTTCTTACTCTTTGGAATGAGTTCGAACAAAATCAGGGAACACAACTTGCAAACAGTATTGGAAATGCCAACGTTATCATTGGCATGAAGCTGAAAATCACAACTTTTAATTGTAAGTGAAGTTAATATACTTTTAACAGCTTATACTTCAATGATAGTCAACCAGTTACAATAACTCAGCCTATCACTGTCTTTTAAATTGCTCTATTACTTAATGAAAACTATTGCTTTTATTATTAGACTTATCTCTGACAACCAAGCCTGGGAGTGGCCTTCTGATTAATCCTCCCACTTCTGAAGCAAATGCACTCAAAGAATGATGCACATGTCCTTTGATCATTTTAGTTAAACTTTTCTATATCCTTTTGATAAATTAAAGTCTGTTGCATTAATTTCTTGGATAGGTATAATGCAAATAAAGAAGAAATTGCAGAATTGATACAACAAATAGCATACAAAGATTCATCTAAGCTGCTGCCACCTCCAAGTGCTAACGACATAATCAGTGTAGCCAATGCACTTAACACACTCAAAGATGTAACTTCCTTTTTCATTTATAACCTGATCTACATCTTTAAGCCATCCAAATTAATACAAAACTCAGATGTTCTTTTTTCTGTTCACAAAAACATCTATTAGGTGAAAACAGCTTGGATGACAGGAAAAATCAGTTTGTCCCCTGGACAACAAAAATTCTGGTTTGAAGCATGTGAGAACTGCCAAAAGGCTATCAATGTTGACGTAGGATGGGTTATGAGATGCGCATCTTGCAAAGAAGAGAGCAGAGTTGTAGCAAGGTAACTACCAAATTAAGTTTCCCTCTCTTGTAATGAATTAAAATATAATATTTTGTTTCCAATGTGTAATAGGACCCGAGTTGGAATTGCTGTTGATGATGGTACGGGCTCCATAAATACTGTTATCTTTGGCCTTGATGCTGAAAAGCTTATCCCATTTACAGCACTTCAATTCTGGGAAGCTCATACTGAGGTGAGCTAACAATCTTGCCAACAAAAAAATCTGCTACAAGTTTAGCTATTGCATGATAATACAACTACCAGCTTAATACATCTTGGTTAATGTTATCGATTCTTTTTCCCTTCATAGATTTCTTCATTTTCCCATTCAGCTGCGATGAACTTCATGTGCCTATATTTCTGCTGCCAATTATAATTTCCTATATTTCTGCTGACTTTTCCAATATCATGCGGGCTATATTTCTGCTGGAATGGCCAATTTCATCTTTGTTTTCCAAACTCTCATGCTTGTAGCCTTTTCTATTAGTTATTGAAGCCACAAACTGTCAAATTCTTACTGTTGTGTGAGGCTAATTTATTAGGAATTTAGTTGTAAGAAACCCATAAAGCAAAAGAAGGAGTGGTGGTATTCAGGAAAAAAACAGTGATAGCTCTCAATGGGTACATTTTCCTAGATAAGATTATGAGATTTTAGTCCAATTGTGCTATCCTGTAAATGAGATATCGAGTTACCTCTTCTAGCCCCTTCTTTGCCAGATTTGATTAGTTTTAGGTAAATAAGTAAATAGAAATTTTGTGCACAATTGGAACTGTATATTTGATACTAATAGAGTTTGTGCACGATTGGCCAATTAGAGCATTGGTCATTCTTCGTATGACAGATCCAATCTCAATCGAATTGGAACTGCATGTCCAGAATGAGTCAAATAGTTCTGCCTTCTTCTCACCAAGTGACTTTCTGTTGATACAACAATTGGAACATCTCTCCTTCGTTGCTTTTGCTGGTCTATATTAATGGCCCAGATGAACTCAAAAGATTTCAGCTTTTTTAGGCCTTTACCCGAATAGAAAAAAAAAAGTGAGAGTTTTATTTAGTTCATTGAGGTCTAATGGTAATAACTATCGAATAATCTGATTCTCACACTTCTTTTCTTTGGTATGAATGCTGCTCTCACCATGTAAAAGTGTCATGATTGTAGGAAACAAAAGATTATTTGGTTTTACCATCTTTCACAGTTATTCCATAATGTCTTGGGTATAATATGTTTTGTTTCCTTCCATAATTATGCTTGGGATCCAGTTCTATTTATACAGCATGAAATTACTCAGAATTTGAATATCATTGCTAATTATTTATACTTTAAAACAAAAAAATTTAGGAGCTTAACTTTTCTGCTGAACTAGCATCTGCACTCGGAAAGCATGCAATTGTGTGTTTCATTCGCTACTATGAGTCAGATTATCAAGGCCGGAAGGAAGCCAAGTATAATATTGTCAAGGCATACACTACTGAGGAATCAGCTCACATTCCAATGGCCATCACAACTGCATAAACGAATGAAAAAATTTCAACCCTTCAAGCTACTGTCCTGCAGCCTACCAAGAAAACTAAATTTTTCAGTCCATCAACCAAAAAAATGCTTGATGCCATTGCTGAATCGTCTACTACTGCAAACAAAGTGCCGCCTACAGTGACAACAGCAAAGAGGGCCTTGGTTTTTGGAACTGTGCCTCCCGGAATTGGTTTGAATTCTCCTGAAGCTAATACACCTACCTCGCTGTCCACCAATGCACCTGGAAGTCCCTTGAAGAAGCAGCGTGACGATGAACTCTGAACTTCCTTGAAGCCTTTTGAATTGCTCATTTTGCTAATGTTAAAACACTTTACAGCTGCATTCCCAATTTTGCATCTTTTGACATAATATTGACATCCATTAAGAAATTGTTCTTTTGTGCACCTTAATGGATCTCAATATGTGATCTTTTGTAATTGCAGCCTATGATTGCACTTTATATTTGAAGATGTTAAGCTGTTTATGAAACTACTTGCCAATCTTTTGTCAGCTTCTCTTATCTTTTGCAATGCTAATGATTTTTTTTTTTGTTTAGTCTCATATTGTTAGCTGCATACTTGATTGGTCTTATGCGAAAATATATGACAACAGATTATAGGGGGTCTAGGCTGTGCTTAGCACAGCCGATAACCTCTTAGTATCTATTGATAAGAAGCTCCTGTACGATTGTCCCTTTAAAAGCCAAAGGAAAATGACATAATGCTTCCTACTCCGTGGTCCCTACCAAAATTGAAAGCCAAAAAAAGAATACAAAAGATGCGGCTCAATTTTCTTTTTGTTTCCTCGGCTCCTAGGGCTCTCATAGCCCTTTCTTTATCAGCTCAATAAGGGCCAAAGGGAAATCCGTTTGTTTCCTCTCTTGTGGGCCACGTTGAGAGAGCTTTGCAGAAGACTCCCATGTGTGCAGTAATTTGCTCAGAAAGTCCCTTCTTTTTTGTAGTTTCTGTTCCATTCCCTAAAATTAAATCCAAATACTAAATATAAGTAAATACTAATAATTAAAACAATATTTGGCAAGGACAAAGGGGAAATTAACAATAAAATAACCAACAATTAACACCCTATCAATTTGTGATGTAATACTAATAAAGTATGTATCTAAATTTATGTTGAATTCTAATGCTTTGTGAAGGAGGTCAGAAATGAAAGCTTTAATTAATTCTATTCAACCACTATGGACTACTCAATTACCATAAGTTTAGCAAAATATAAGAGAAAATAAACATATTATCAAACATAAGTTTAAGACAAGTCATAAGTTTCATAGCAGAACATCAAACTACCAAAATCAATTATCACATGATTACATAGATGAATCAACTTTATCACCATAGCAAATCAGTAGTACAAAGGTCAAACTACCACCAAATGAATCAAGTATTCCCAGAAAATTAGACAGTCATATATATAACCAAATACATAAATGAACGAGTTCTGTCACCAAACTAAATCAGTATTACTAAGTACACACTAACACCAAAATCAATTCCAGAACTAACTACATGTATATCAAAAGAATTTAAAAGATTCAGTAGGAAGGATAAAATTTTGGTTACCTTATTCCAAATATTTCCTACAAAACTTTTCCTCACACACATGAGGCTGACATTGTTAATGCATTAGTATGACCTAATTAAATCTATTAGCATGTGTATAGAAAGCAGTTATACATATATCACAAGTTATTTGCAAATTATGACAAATTTCAATGTAAAAAAATATAGTTTCAACATACCTTGGCTTCCAGATTCTGATTAGGAGATGTAAATATGTAACACTCTTCTTATGAATCCTGTTCCTACCACAAATACAAGTAACGCAAAAAAATACAATTCAAAAAAACTAAAAGTCAATTGATTGTTATGATTTGTCTTCAAATGGATGAGAGATGGTTCCAAACAACAAACCTTTGTTGAGCAAACCCAAAAACTGAGAAAAGGGAATGAACAGATGTCCAACACTTGATACTTTAAATTTTCCAATAATTAGTATTAATTTTGTCTTAACCATCCTAGTCCTAGAATGGTTAAAAAGGGTAAAGACCGTAAGCCAAAATACATGAAGTTGAAGCAGCAGAATTTGAATAGTAATACCTATCTAGCCCACTTCTGCCAATTATCCCTAATAATTGTGTCTAATAAATCATTTGCAATAAACCATGCAATGAATGGAATTTAGCTAGTTGAGAAGTCTAATCAGTTACATCAAAGTATGCTCTCCAAATTTTAATTTGCAACTCACCATCTTTATGTAATTACACCAAGACAAAAGTTATTATGAATTGTACCAACTGTTAAAAAGAGTAGTACAACAAACTCGCATTCCCAAAATACCCTTCCCTCATTAATTCCTTTCACTAATTACCTACTAAACCACATTCTCCCCAATTTAATTAGAGACTAAGGACGTTTAACTAATTACAACCACACAACGGCTATTGTCACTTGTACCAACAGATAAAACGATAACCAAAATAATCATACATTCCCAAAATACCCATAAAAAGGCACAACCCCATTTTTGGAAATGTGTGACAAAAGAATTCACCATAAATTGTATTCTACCTATAATACAAACTTTAAATATACAACATGAGGGTATCTCTGTAAACATACCCAAACACATGCTGCCCTGAGTTGTACAAAAAACTTTAAAAAAGCAACACATTATTTCACATTTCCAAAATACCCTTACCCATGCGGTTGAAATTCAAAATCTCTTTTGACCAAAACTCATTCTTATATAGTATAAGGATGTCAAAATTCAATTAACTTGTGAGACATAAATGTTATAGTAATTTAGATCCTTTGCCGCCCATAATATTTTTTTTTTTATCTAGGATCTATAATGTTTGGGATCTCAATTTAACTATTAGCCATTAGACCAAAATCTCTTTGAACTTTGCCCATATTACTTCTTCTTGTAATACACAAGTCCTAATAGGCTGTAACAAATATTTTTTACTAAAATTTTATGTCCTTGGAAGAAACTTATTTTATATTTTAAGGACTAATTGAATATATAAAAAGCATATATTTTCAAACAAAAGTGTAAAATAAGACCTTGTTCAACCATATATTAAGAGCAATACAATTTTTTTCTTTACTTATTTGCTCTTAGAGTTGAATAATCTTAGTTTTAAACAAAAGTTAAGGAGGTAATTATGAATATGAAAAAATTAGGGGAGGTAAGTGTAATTCAAGCCTTTTCTTTCCTTTTTTTTTTTCATTTAAATTTTAGTCCTGCTAGCCAGCCAGCACCTTTCAGTTGCCCTCTCCACAAGCATATAGGCTCTGAGCTCCAACATCAAAAAGAAGAATAAGAACCCAAAAGAAACCCCAAAAATCAAAAAAAGGAAGAAGAAGAAGATGGAAAATCAAGAGGGCAAACAGCAACCCCACCTGATTCTCGCCAACAAACTCTTCTTGCTCACTCACCCAGATGTCGACGACATCGAGAAAGTTCGCCTCCGGGATGAAGTTTACAACGCCGTCGTTTCAGATGGTAAATTTGGCTGCTGAGTAATTTGGATATATACTTTTTTTTATTGGTTTATGTTTTTCAGTCAAATTAGGGTGTTTTGTGTTTATATGCTTTGGGTTTTGTTTGTTAACGAGTATTAATTTGATTTATGGTGGGATTGTATTCAGATATGGCGCCATTGTACGAAACCCTAATTGCAAATGGGGTTTTGAATTTGGATCAAAAGGTGCTGGATTCGATGCGTGCTAAGATTGACGAGGAACTCAAGCAGCTTGATGAAAAGTAATTTTCAGATTCTCATTTGACTAATTTACTTTTTCAATTTTACTAGCTTTCCGAATTTTTTTTGGCACTGTTAGTGTCGGCTTTATTGAATAATTGGACCGTTTAGTATCAGAGGTCTGCGGTCTGATTATTAGTTTAGTGAATTTGGGGAACAGAGAATAGCTTATGATGTCGAAGTCCTGAAAGATGACGTTTTTTAAGGTCATTTCTGTATGTTTCTGTATACTAGCTGCTTGAGTTCGGCAATTTTTTAAGCTGATGTCTTAGTTTTGCTGTAAGGCTCGGTAAAATGCTGCCTTAGTGCACATATATTTGTATTGCTTAACCTGCTTTTTGAATGTAGTTTTTATGCATCCTCCGGTTTAACTTTTTAGTGTTTGCCTTAAAGGTTTTGTAGGTGTCAGGAATCCCGACTAGATACAAGAGGGTGAATGTTATTGATAATTAGTTTCATTCTGGCAAGAGTAGGTTTAATTGGTTTTAGAGGTTAATTCTGAAACATTGGAGTCCCGGTTACCATGCTGTCACATGTTAGGTTCAACTCAAATGAGAGGTGAAGGTGCTTCTTTTGTTGATTTGTTTATTCATTCTTAGTACGTTCAAAAGGAGTCTGAAAATTAGTAAGAAGACAGTCCTGGTTTGCTTGCACTTCATCAAATGAGTATTGAAAACTGTCTTTTGATGATATATATGGTATGGAAAGATGGCTTTTGAACTGGTGGCCTATAGTGTTATGATATTAAATGCACATGAAACTCCAAACATGTAGGAATGTCAAAAGAAGCTACGTCTCCTTATGTTGATCCTCCCTCAATATAGACGATACGAGTTTGTGCACACAGTTACAAACAAATTAGAGTGAACTGTGTGATTTGTTATCTCAATTTCTAGTTGCATATAATTTTTTAAAAAAATTGGGTTAGCTTATGCAGATGAAAATGTAAAACTGGCAATTAGATATCAGTCATACATTTGAATGATGAACCATAGGATTTTGGCATCTCTTATTTGTCAAAATGGACTAGAGAGTCTACCCCTTTTTATGCACTTTCCTGTCCCCCCTTTATGGCAAATCTTTATAGCTCTTAATTTTTTTCCCCTTGTTCCTATTCTATTGTGTTAGAATTTTCCTTAAAAAAGTAGAAAGTAAGAACTACTACTCATAAGGCTCAAATGTCAACCTGACTTGTGAAGTATTAGCAGTCGCTAGGTAATCCTTGTTAGATATTACATGCTATGTAGCCCTCATGTCCTTCTATTGCTGTTTTACTGGTAATTGTGTATAAAAATCTCCCTTGAGGCAGTCAATCTGATAGTTATTCGCTGGTTCTTGTTACTGGTACTAAAATCTGTAGCTGATGGTTATTCCAATATGTCATTTTGACAAGAGTGTTCCTAGTGATATATATTTTGCTGTTTGTCCTTTTTCCTCATTTCCTTAGCTTTTGGTGTATAGGTGCACAAATTCTTCATTATGAGGTCTTTTCATGAGTTGGCATGAATAGATTTGTTTTCCTGCTTATAGAGCTCCATATGCTATTTTTTTGTGGCTCTTCTTTAGTCTTTATTCATCTACTTTCTAGGATTGCTGATGCAGAGGAGAACCTGGGAGAAAGTGAAGTTAGAGAAGCTCATTTGGCTAAATCCTTATTTTACATCCGAATTAGTGATAAGGTAGACGAGTGAACTTTTTTTTCCATCATTGTACCTCCATATCTCTTGTTGTGATTTAACCTTTTTTTTTTTTTTGGATATTTGCTTCACAATGAATCCAGGAGAAGGCCCTTGAACAGCTCAAAGTCACAGAAAGTAAAACAGTTGCAGTTGGCCAAAAGATGGACCTAGTTTTCCACACACTGCAGATTGGTTTCTTCTATATGGACTTTGATCTCATATCAAAGAGTATTGATAAAGCAAAGAAGTAAAGGATATATATATATATATATATATATATATATATGTATATATATATATGTGTGTTGATCTTCAATAATATATACACACTTATATTATAGCTTAATGTGCTCCAGTTTTCCTTAATATTTGCTCTTGACTTATGGTTTGCAGCTTGTTTGAAGAAGGAGGTGACTGGGAAAGAAAGAACAGGTTGAAGGTGTATGAGGGCTTGTTCTGCATGTCAACACGTAACTTCAAGAAAGCAGCAAATCTTTTTCTTGATTCCATTTCAACTTTTACAACTTACGAACTTTTTACCTATGACACCTTCATATTTTACACTGTCCTTACAAGCATCATATCACTAGACAGAGTTTCCCTGAAACAGAAGGTATTCATTTTTTTTAAGATGAGTCTGGTTCAATTGTAGATCAAATAAGCAATCATATTTTCATTCCTGTCTAACCACATCCCCTTGATGACATTCTAGTACTTTTCATCTTTTTCTGGAAGATGATGATAAAAGGGATGAAGTAGAACTTATGGTGCCTGTGCTGTTTGTGGCAGGTTGTTGATGCCCCAGAGATCTTGGCAGTTATTGGGAAAATCCCATTTTTGTCAGAGTTTTTGAACTCACTTTATGATTGTCAATATAAATCATTTTTCTCTGCTTTTGGTAAGTATAAATGCTGTTTAATTTATGTCACTATCTTACAAACATATTTATGAAATACCTCATTCTCGATAGAAAAGAGGAACTTTAAGGGCATAGGCTCTTGAACATATAATGTCAAATCCAGCCTTCCCTCCTTCCCCAGACTGGCTTGTGGTGCAGATTGGACTTGGGTTGTTCTTAGGGACTGGCTCCGCGCTGCTTAAATATGTGACAAATTAATATGCTATATGTTTGTTCAGATTTGAGCTAGCTACTTCTTTTCTAGATTAAGGATTTTTTAAAATTCTTCACTTTTTCTTTAATTTTCTATAAGTAGTAATTGTTAAAAAATCTGATATAGTTATCTGCTTCAGTGTTTCTGCTATTCACAGAAACTGCCGTCTCCTCTGTTGAAATATCACAGTTTGGACCAATGTTTTGTTACTTATTTGCAGTTTGTCTTATTCAATTTATTCAAATGACTTTCAGCTGGCTTAACTGAGTATATTAAATTGGACCGGTACTTGTACCCACACTTCCGGTATTACATGAGGGAGGTTAGAAGTGTGGTTTATTCGCAATTCCTCGAGTCCTACAAGAGCGTTACCATTGAAGCTATGGCAAAAGCATTTGGGGTGACTGTGGATTTCATTGACTTGTAAGTTTGTCATGTATCTTGATCCTATGAGCTCTTACCTGTAACTTCAAATTACTGTCATTATACAAATAAATTGATGTTTGGGTATTTAATTCTTCTGCAGGGAGCTGTCCCGCTTTATTGCCGCGGGAAAGCTACACTGCAAGATCGATAAAGTAGCAGGTGTGCTCGAAACTAATCGTCCAGATGCAAAGAATGCCCTCTACCAGGCAACCATCAAGCAGGGAGATTTCTTGTTGAATCGTATTCAGAAGCTCTCTCGTGTCATTGATCTATGAGTTATGTAACTGCTTTTTGCCTTGGGCAATGACATGGCAATTCAGGGAATTATGCCTTGAAGTTCTTGATTAGTCATCTGATGTATTTCTAGCGGGATGTCCTCAGTTCTTTCCCTGGAACTTGGTGGACTATTTCAGATCATTATTGAGTCTTAAAAAAATTATCATCTTTATGCAATCTTTGGACGGATCTGCTTGTGCCTTCTTTTACTATTGTGTTAAAATCGAGTAGACAACGGAGAATGTTCACGTCATTTGAAATTTTAGATCAATGGTTAATTTGTGCCTCAGTGATTTTAATTCTTAGCAAATGTGTAATTTTTTTTTTTTGTCAGCAACGATACATTTGTATAACCTATTTTATCCTAATCTAGGGGGGAGGGGGAGCCTAAGGAAGTTGTGGTAGGGGGTTAGTGGGTATATAGATCCAACTAGACCAAGAGAGTGTTGTAACAAAATTTTTAGATTTTTTTCGCTGCAGGTAAGGATTGAATCCTCACCGCCTACAGTCCAAGGAGGGATTTAAGCCCCTCTCTGGTGGTCACTGAGCCATTGGTCCAGTGGTTTAGCAAATGTGTAACTGGATGTAATGATTTTCTTTCTTTGTAACCTCTGAGGCAGAACCCCTCGGTCACCAGAACCCCCTCCCCCCGGGCTTCCATGTCTTCGGGAGAGATGGGGAGGAGAATCCAGAACTGCAAGGCAAGATAACCAATGGATTGGTTCGAGCATTCATATCCAGCTATTTTCATTGCTGTGCGGCCTTCAGTAAATGTGCTTTGAGGGGTGGATAGACAGTTTGTTTTTCTTTTCCAGGTTAAAGCAGTTGTTGCACAGTTTAGCATCTGCTGAAGTTAGGTTTGGTCCTGATTTCATATATAATTAATTGTACGGAGGCTGGAGAGACTCTCATAATAACAATAATAATGTGCAAGTAATTTGTATCATGTCCCATCCAAGTCAATTATGTCGAACCCAAAGATTGAACCCCGAAAGTGATTAAAATCATTGACAAAGGACCATGGCATTATGATCAACTCTCTTTTTTGGACCCAACATCCTGTCAAATGCAGCACCTAAATTCTGTTAAAGCGCTCACTACCTTCTAGTAATCATTTGTAACGTTGCTTTTTCCTCTCTTTTTTTTTTCCCCAGCTTGCCATATTCAGTGGGATTGGAGTGCGCACTGGAACCACAGATCTCTAGCTCAATGGCCACCACCACTCTTGGTGAGGTGGGAGATAGGGTTCAACTCTTGCCTCCCACCAAATTGTCATTTTAGCTGGCAGTTTTAATTGATTTTTTTCGATGGAGTCTCTACTCATATCGAATCTCCCTCCCCTTCCCCTTAAATTAGAATAAATTAGATTATAAAAATTCTACCGTTTCGACAAAAAAAAAAAAAAAAAAAGTACACGCTGGGCTAGTTTTGCAAAAGGGCAGTTGGTACATTACTGGTACTATTTTGTTTTGCTTTTTGTTAATTTTTTTGAAATTTTTTGTAGCAAAGAAAGGGATGGAATTTAAGAAGCGGAAACAAGATAAAGGGATTAAAATTCAAAACTTCTAATTCTATCTCGACGGGGGAATGGGGTTTTTATTTTGGTTTCTGTCCGTTTAACTTTCATGCAAGAAAAAGTTGTTGGTGCCAGTTGACAAGAAAATACTACAACTTGAGTAGTAATCATAATGCCATCAATTGAAGTTGGTGGCTCTTTAGGACATTGAGATTGAAGATGTGCGACTGAGCTAACTTCTTAGGCGCATTGATTTTCCTTTTGTCAACTGGCAATAGATTCTCTTATACGTTAAGTGATGGGTTAACTGAGAGTTTAGATCCCTTGACATTAAATTATATGCCGTAGAATGGAAAGGCACTAAGTCAAATCCCCTTGCATTGGACCACATAAAATCCCCTTATTAAAAAAAAAAAAAAAGAAGAAAGGGTTAATTACAGTTTGCCTCCCTAAACTTGAGCCATTATAACACTTTATCCCCTGAACTTTAAATATACACACTTTGCCCCCTTCATTGATTAGTCAAACATTAATAATGAATTCTCCATCCAAAATTTCAACAAAATGACATTAATGCCCTCACACAATAGTTCTAGAATAATACTATAGTTTTAATTGGAATATGAAACATCTTATTAGAAAAAAAAAAAAAAACAAAGTCACATGATTTAAAAAATTAAAAATAAAAGATATATATTACCAAAGAATTGAAAAAGCGTATTTCAGAGAAAAAAAGAATTTAAAAATTCATAAAACATCTGTACAAGTTTTCCATCGCTTATCTTTCTTCCTTTAAATTGTAAACAAATTGATTTTAATAATTTTCATTTACCTTGCAGCTTTCACAAGATTTTCAGGAGTCAATAAAATGCTATTCGATAAATTTATACCACATTCATACCTTGCTTTGTAGTTTGTTCGAGTTCTACATTTAAAAAAATAAAAACTCTCTAAATATGCTTTTCAATACATTTTTATTTTTAATCGTGTTTTTATCTCACATAAAGCACATCAAAAAGTGCTACAATAAAAAATATAAGCAAATAATTTTTATTCCAAATGCACTAATTAATTTTATTTCATTTAAAATAAATACTGCTATCGGGAATGAAATAAATACATTGAGTTGCTTAGACTTTTTTTGTGAATTATCTAATTCATTTTAGTACTAAAAGTTCTAAATGCATAGAGTAATTGTGTTTAGATGCATTTAGCAACTATTAAATAAATAGGTATTTACTGTGTTACAATTATTATGTGTGTTTAAAAATTAGTCAGGGATATTTTAGTCATGAAAAATATAACTTCATTTTAACCCCATCTAAAAGTTGACCACAAGATGTAAAGCGTATATATTTGGAGTTTAAGGGGGCAAAGTGTTATAAGCGCCCAAGTTCATGGGGGCAAAGTGTAATTAACCCTAAAAAAAAATATCCCCTTATATTGGACCACATTAAATTGGATAGCCCCTTGAACTAATTCATTGGGTGGCTTCAATATCTTAATACCAGCCGTGGGATGTTACATACTTCATATTTTCTTTGCTAAATTGACCCCAAAAAAAAAGTGTAAAGGTTTAATCATAACTTTGCTAGGAATTAGTACATTGATCATATTTATCGTGTACCTTTAACCGATTTACCTAATTACTCACCGAAGAAAGCCATTGATGTGAGCTTGTTGATGCAATTGGCAGTAATTTTTGAAACAGTGTGAAATTGGCCTTTTAGCTTCACAAGATGTGTGGGGTTGGTTCTCATGTAGTTAAGAAACCTACGCTTCCTAATGTCACATCTAAGACTATTAATTATGATTAAGATGTTATTGAGATGATGATACACTACAAATTTAGATATTGGAATTGAGGTACATTTTTTTCTGCTTATTGTGCTTTGAGACTATGAGTGCGCTTGAAAAAAATTTAATTTTAAATTTAATGTTTAAAAATCTGAAATTTGAATTCATTAAATTACTAAGTTGTTAAGTATTGTAATCATAACATTTGAGTGTATTTTTTATGAAAGTAGTGAATAAATAGTTTATCACTTATTTTTGAACTAACACACCGTTTGAATTGAGGGAATACGAGGAAAAGAAAAGGAGAGAAATTGGAGGTATTTGGTTTTTGTTGTTTGATTGATTTTTGAAGAGGGAAATGGAGGGAAAGGGTCTAGTTGTTTTATTGAATTATGTTTTCTACCCAAAAGTGGATGAAGTAGAGGAAAATGAAACTAAATTAATTGAAATAATTTAATTTTTTCAAAAAGAGTATTTTTTCCTATCTTTTTCAGTAAATTAACACTTGTTCTTTTCCTTTTCTTTTTTGTTTCCTTCTCCGATCCAAACAAATTTCCAATATTTTCTCTTTTTCTTCCATATTTAATCCAAACAAGATGGATGGAAACTACTTTTCTCTACTCTCCTTTCTTTTATTTTCCATTGGCGTCCTTTCCTTTTCTTTTCCTTCTTTTCTTTCAATCCGATCGGAGCCTAAGTTTTGTCCAGGCAATTTAAAATTATTTAATTAATTAAGATGTTATATATATTTTTGTTATCAAACACATCTAAATATATTAAGATTTGAATTCATCAAGTCTAAATGCTAAATTAGATCATCAAACTATGCCCATGATTTGGTTCTGGTAGAGCTGATGTCTCTAGCTTTATTAGTAAACTTTCAATTAGAATGGGCAGTATAAGATAACATCTTTCCATGTTCTATGGTTTCTAATATAAAAGGACAAAAGCAGTTTTACCAATTTTGGGTTGGGCTGGGGGAAGGGGGAATAATAGGCAGTGTTTTATATTAAAAAAGGAAAAAAGGTAAAAGTTAAAATTGTGAGAAAATAAAGGAAAAATTGATAGAAGACAAACCTGTAAATAAAAGAGGAGAATGACTCTCCCTTTGGCTGCGAACGAAGGATAATTTTGTAGTGCATGAGAAATACTTTTATCTACACCAGAAGACTTTGAGTAGAGCTCTTGAACTCAAAATGATGTACCTGTTCTTGGTGGCATTATTTTAGTTCATTATAAATTTTAATTTTTAATAATCAATTTTTTGGTATTCTTGTGTGTTTGCATTTAAATTATAAATTATTTGATAGTAAAAAAAGTTAACATTCATAATCTACCAAAGATAAGTTTTTACTAAATCTGATTATTCTTTATAATCACTTTTTTATAATCAATTGATGCAAAATTTAAAACGAACAAGAAAAGGAACTATATAAGATTTTTAAGATGTTGATGTTACATGGAAAAATTTAAATAAATTCACTATATAGATTGAAAATTTTATTAATATTAAGTAACTTGAACTTCCATCTCAAAATCAATTGGCAATGAGTGGAGTGGTTCAACATCTAACGTCTTATATATATGGCCGGAAACCTTTGGAATATCAAGGTGGGATATTCAACTAACATCCCGTCGCTAACGTGACTTGGCAAATGAGCTTAAATCATTAGAGAAAGAACAAAAGAACCAAGTCAACAAAATGACATAACAAACAAACCCAAGGCTCAGCTCTAATAGGCTCAGCTCTAATACCATGTTAAGTAACTTGGACTTCCATCTCAAAATCAATTGACAATGAGTACAGTGACCCAACACCTTATATATACGGCTGGAAATCCTTGGAATATCAATTTGAGATATTCAACTAATAATTAATAATTTAATTTTCGTCATTTTATGCATTCATTGCAATGAAAGTTTCATTAAATTATGAGATTATCACACTTAATAAAAAGTACGGGTGAACGGGCGAGTAGAAGGGAAATAGAGGAGTAGGGATAGTGGAGAAGAGTAGGATACTATTAGGGAGGTGGCCTGTCAATTTTTGTTGTCATCCCTAGGTCATGTAAAGATAAATTTAGTTATTGTTCATAATTTATTTTGTCGCTTTTAATTCAATTCTTAGGTCAATTCAAAGTTACTTTTGAGAATGCTTCAAAATACTAAAAACACTACATTTATAATGGTATTTGTTACTTAAAATCTAAATGCAATAATTTTCTTTAAATACTTCAAAAAAGAAACATCTAATCAAAATAGACTCAAAATTTTAACTACCCCATATTGTTGTGATGGTTGTGATTAGATCTAGTCATTAGGTGAAGGGGGAGGAGAGTTGAATGGGAGGGGAGAGGAAAAAGGAAGGAAGAAAGGAAGAGAAGGGAGAGGGAAGGGAGAAAAGAAAGGAGAAAGAAGAAAAAGATGGTGATAGAAGGAGAACAAAAAGTGGTAATAATAATGAAAGAGAAAATTGTGGTGAGAATGGTGCAGGGATTTGGGAAGAAGCGAGAGGGGAAAGAGATGAGAAGTAGAAAGAAGGGGAGTTGGTTGAGGTGAAAAAAAAAAGAGAGGAAGGAGGGGGAGGGGAAGGAATGGTGGACGAGTAAAAAATGAGGGAAGAGTAAATCGTTCGCGCTGTGCAAGTGGCATGGGATGAACACAATAAGCGAATTGTCAAATTTGTACTTTCAAAATTAATAGATTCGTGACTTATTCCAGTCAAATTTGAGAGGTGATGAGAGATAAAATTTGAGCGTTTTCTATATGTTAGGGACTAAAATTGATCATTTTAATTCTGAGACACTAAAATTTTTATGTACACAATATGCAAGGAATGATTAGTGTAGTTTTTCCTTAGATCTTTTGTTAGTTCATTTTGATACGTCCAATTGCCAACTTTTTAATAAATCAAATAAACAAGCAATTCTATTCTTTTTTGAGGTAATATATTGCACTTTGTTACGCTTCATTCTAGGACTATTCCACTTTACAAATGCACCATCTGCCTTTGGGAATTCTCGAGTGGGTCTTGTTTGGATAGTAATTTTTTGTCGAAAAATTGCGTCATTTTTTATAATCATATTTCCTTATTACCTTTTTTTTTCACATAAATAAAATCGTTATAATAATTTTTCTACAAAAAAAATTCAAGAAAATACAATCCAAAGAAGACCTAAATCTTCTGCCCAAAAAAAGAGTGACAAAATGTCAAAAACTATTTAAATATCCCAAAACCCCAAAACTTTTTTCCTCCGATCACTCACCCTCAAGTCCTCAACCAAGCGGGCCAAACCAAGTACGTACCTACAGGTGCCATGATTCCCCTAACACAAGAAAGTGGCTATATTCTTTTGCTTTGCTCAGCCACAATTTTCCATCCCACGGACAAACTACTGGTACATAATGCTATCACCTTCTCAATCGTCTTCAATTCTCGACCATGCAACCCAAATGAGTTTCTCCAGTTTCAGTGCTTATGTTTCTTTTGTAACATCCTGTACGTGTTCATAACAGAAATCCAACTGCCCCAGAGTTTAACCTGAATTTGTGGAAAAATTTAGCAAATTAGTAGGAACCCATTTTTAGTGAAGCTGAAGATTATCAGAGACCACCATGATTTTGCCGCTCGATTTGAAAGATTTCCAGGAAAAGCTCTCCATAAAGTTGAGACCTTGGCAGCGTTCTTTTGAGTTCTGGGCTCGAACTATTGACATCTACACTGGCTATAAGGTCTCTCTATCCGTGAATTAATATTGGGATTAGCTTAGAATTTTGTTTTGTTTTTTTTTCACTTTTCATTTTTGTTTAATGGGGGAAAATTCCTTTCAGGTGTTTCAACTTAAAGTGTGCTTTGAGAAGGATGTGAAAAAGCAGGAGGCAATGTGGGAGAGGCAGCATGAGCTTGCTGCTGACAAGATTTATAATATGTGTGCTGATCTTGGTGGGTTTTTTCTAAAGGTACTCCTGTTGATTGCACCTTTAAAATTTTTAATCTTCTATACTTCTTAAAAGCCATCAATTGTTAAGTTTTGACTATTGTTTGCCTTGAAAGGTTACTCTTTTACTGTGTAATTGGGCTCTTATGGCACTGTTCTGAGTTAAAGATTTTGGTTTAAATAGGTACTACGTGTTTGTGACTTATGGAGGCTGTCATTTTGGGTTTTTTTTTCCTTCATGGTTTTGGTGGATTATGTTTTGTATAGGTTGCACAAATAGTTGGGAAACCTGACTTGGCACCAGCTGCATGGGTGAGAAGACTGGTCACACTGTGTGATCAAGCTCCAGCTACGCCGTACAATGTGATCAAAGCTGAGCTGGAGAAGGAGCTTAGTCAAAGTGTTGACGAGTTGTTTGACACATTTGATGCCAATCCTCTTGGTTCAGCTTCAATTGCTCAGGTTTATATAGCAACTTCACTATTTTGGCTAGCTAAAGACTCACAAAGTTTAAGGTTAAAGTTCTGAATGCAAAATAAAGTATCTTTAAGGTTTAATCCATGATCTCTCAACTCGGTTGGTATGCAATAAATTTATAATTTTCATGATTTCTTATTTGTTTCGTGGTTCTTTTGTGAGTACTCAACATAAATAATTTGGAATGCTAATCATCATGGAACAACTGGGAAGAACCTCAAGAGATGGATGTCAGTAAAGTTGATTCATCTTGTGATTAAGTTGGCAGTTGAGTAAAAGGATGCATTAGGTCTGTTCTGAAATAGCAAATGGTAACAGCCTGTGTGGGACCTTAAAGTTGTATAAATCGTTAATGTTAACATTGTTTTTACTTATAATTTAGAATTCAAGTGCTCATGATATCTATTCCAGTAAGGAAGGTTGAAATCAGGTTTCCCTATTATACTATTACCCAGGTCGTGCAAATGGGGTTGCTAAGGACATGCCAAATGGAGCATCCAACATTCTACAGTATGATGGATTGATTGGCTTATAAATGTGACAACGTGATCTAATTGCATGTTTACAACTTAGGATAGCCTTTCCGAGAAGTGGGATGAAACTCAAATTTTTGACAGGAGGCTGTGTTGGTAGGACTACTGCTTTTGAGGCCCTTTTTTTTCTTTCTTTTGTAACTGTTACTGCAGTATTTTAAGCAACATAATTCCTGAATGATATATGGGCCTTATCAGTCTATAGATGCACTTTGTTAAAAGTTTCAGAATAAAAAATATGATGGATCCTGCAGCCTGCGGAGAATAATTAGTATCTGAAAGTGCTTTAAGTTTTTGTTCATGTTTTCTGATGGTGCAGTTGGTTTCTTCTTGATTAACAATATCTGATTGTACCATTACATGTAAACTTGACAGAGTTTTTGATCTAACCTTTACTCGCTATCCTTTTATTTTAAGACTATACTGATATAATGCGTGCATGTTGATGTCATGTATAACCTAGGTTCATCGAGTACGGCTAAGGGGTGACAAGAATGATGTTGTTGTCAAGGTAAGAAGAACTGAAAATCTGCCTGCATCTTTAATATGATTGAGGTCTTAATCAATACGTTGCTGCAGGTGCAACACCCTGGGGTTCAGCATTTGATGATGACAGACATCCACAACTTGCAAGCTTTTGCTTTGTTTATACAGAAGACAGATATCAAATTTGATCTATATTCTATAACCAAGGAGATGGAGAAACAGGTATGCAGCTCCTTTTCTTTCACAATCATCTGTAGACATTCTGCTGTCCTTGTCTGCCACCACTTTTTTCTTTACTTTATTGGGGAGAGAGGGGGAGGGGTGTTGTCTTTTTTGGGGGGGTGGGGTGGGGGAAGAGGGGGGTTGCTGGGAAATTCAACATGATGCATTTTTTTTGTGGCATAGCTAAGATTTCTGTAGTGGGGCCAAGCATTTGTACTCAGTGTACTTTCTTCTGTTTCCTTTCGATCAGTTTCTTCATTTATGACTTGAGAACTGTGTGGGGGAAAATGTCAAAAATATTTAGACTAGCTAAGTTTAGTCTTCAACAAGCTTTTCTTCACTTTTTAATGTTTCGTTTGAGGCAGAGAAATTGCATTGAAGTATGTAAATATGTCAAAAGATGACTGTTTTTTCATCTTGTAGTGATTTATGTGTTGTATTTCTAGAGCTGCTTTATGTCTTAAAGTTGTTTTAGTTTCCTACTTTTTATTTATATTTTTCATCCAAGTTCTCCATTATGCCATTCTTTTCCTATAAGGTGCACTAATTAGTGAGCACTCTCTTAGTCTGAAGTTCTACTTCATCTTCCTTTGATGAAAAAATTGCTTTTAATTACTGTGAAGTACACCTGGAATTTGCTATTCTGTCTTACTCTAGAGAAGTTTGGTCACCTTTCATGTCATGTGTTCCAATTTCAATTCATATGTTACACTGTCTTTTATTTTGTTGTTTCATTTCCCTCTGATCATATCATATCACATGTTGACACATCTCTTGTTCAGTTGATATTTCTTTACATTTGTGTCTTATTGTCTTTCTATATATTGTTAAGTGCAAAACTATGATCTTTCTCTTTGATCAATTGTTTGATGCTAATTCATTTCATCTTTTCCGCAACAGATTGGATATGAGTTCAACTTCTTGAGAGAGGCTGATGCTATGGAAAGAATTCGCAATTTCTTATATGCAAACAACAAAAAGAGCCCTGTTTCGGTGCCTCGCGTGGTGCGGAATTTGGTCACTAGGTACATTTAATTGCATTAGATTTTTTTTTTTTGGGATCAAAATTTGAAAACTCAACTTAGTTTGATTGAATTGTCATTGTAGGAAGGTTTTGGTAATGGAATGTATTAATGGAATCCCCATTATGAAACTTGGAGATGAGATAGCGAAAAGAGGCATTAATCCTGCTGGTAAGGTAGCAGCAGCAGCAAAGCAGTAAGCCCTTAGATTACCTAGAGAGTATGGTTCTTTTATTTTTGTTCTGCCTGATTTTTTTTGTGATTGTGCGCATTGGTGTTGTGATTGTAGCTTTTTACTTCCATTATTTCTGTAACTTTGTGATATCTGCACCATTCTTGTGTAACCTTTAGTGGACGCATCAGGAAGTCTTTGATCTGTCTCTCCCCCTCCCAACTTTTTTAAAACTCCACAGAGTTTTTAAGCCTTCTTCGTAAATGAGTAGAGTGCTGGTCTGTGATAGTTCTGGACGAATCTGTAAGAGGTAGCATAGGATGCATCTTGTAGTGGTATTTTCTCCAATCTGAAGCAAATTATTTCACACATAATTGATTGTTTTAAAAGGAAATCTGCTTTACTTTAGCTGAGTGAAGTATAAGAAACCTGAAATATGGATGGTTACTGACTATTATTCTGCTTTTTTTAGAGTGGAGTGGTACTTTCTCTTTTGGAGCTGATACTAATATCTATAGTTTTCTTAGAAGAGATGTTTGTGGAAATCGTTGTCAAAAACCATTCCTGGGAACAAATTTTACTTGTATTGAGTCTGTGTTTGTTACTCAGCTCCATCTTGAGTTCAAAGTTATGAAATTATGAAACAAGTAGCCTTTGGGAATAACTGCAATTTTATGAAACTATCTTGGTTGAATTAAATGCTTAGAAAATTTTGGGCTCAATCTACTAATTTCAGTAAATAGGTGAATTATCTAATGCCGTGCAAAAACATGGAAAATGTTTTTTGGACTGAACCTAGGTTTCTTAGTTTCATAAGAAGATAGTTTTTAAGGTACCTTCTGCTATTAGAGAACTTGTAAGAAGTTTCCTCACTTCCCAAAAGCACATAATTCCTCCGTGAAAAGACAAATCTACTTTTGCAATTGGAATGATACTAAAACTTAAGACATTTTGCAATCAGACAACTGTAGAGTTTGGTCCTGAGAGTTGGAGAGAAGTGACCCTTATATGTGGTAACATGCTACTGTTGGGAAAAGTGATGAAGAAGGAAAAGAAGATAGGGAAGATGAGATAATTTGGTAACCTGTTGAAGAGAGAATAGCCATTTAAAGACATCTGCATTCTGAATCTTATGTCAAAAGAAGTTTATGAACTTATTTTTGTGGGGAACAAGAGATGTGGCAAGCAACTAAGTTTGGAGCTTATCTTGATGAAAGATCTCTAGGAATCATCTCAAGGACTTTGTCCTAATTGACAGGGGTAAGATATCCCAGGACCTAAATTATTATGGAATGCAGAAATAATCAAGATATGGCTGTGTTATTGTTTTGGAAGAGTTCTTAAAACAATAATTAAACCTCTATCTACAGCGTAGCTCAAATTGGTAAGGGGTGCTAAATTAACAGGGATAAGATATGTCAGGACCTTAATTTTGATGGATGGTGGAAACCATCAACATAAGCCAGTGTTATTAATTTGCAAGAGTTCTTAAAACAATGGTTAAACCTCTATCTACAGGGTAGCTCAAATTAGTAAGGGATGCTAAACTTCTGAATTTGTCATCTACGCTTTTAAAATATATCTTGCTACCATGCATATTTTCATAGATGGCTTTTGGAAGAAATTTCTGCATATTGCTAACAAAACTGTTCAACAATTCAACTGGAGTTTGTTATTTTTGTCAGTGACTGACATCCATAACTTATATTAACTGGATGTGATGGGGATAAACTTCATAATCCTTTTATTTCATGTTTCATGATATACATACGTACTTTCACTTGCACTGTTATGTATATGATGGATAACCTACAAAAATAATTTCATTTTATCCTTAATCCTTGCTTGTAGCTACTTTGACAGTGGAATAAACAATAATAAAGACATAACATCTGCTGCCAAATGCAGGAATATCCTGAAAAGTTTGACACTTGCATATGGACAGATGATTCTGAAGAGTGGTTTCTTTCATGCTGATCCTCATCCAGGAAATATTCTGATATGTCGAGGTTCAGAGGCAAGTTGAACGTTTCTACTCTCTTTTATTCTGTTTTGACAGTGTTTCAAGATCATCCATCAGCTTCTGTCTATTGACGGGAAATGGATCTTTTTTGGATACTCTTTTAGGTTGCTTTACTTGATTATGGGCAAGTGAAGGATCTCCCTGATCAGCTGAGGCTTGGATATGCTAATCTAATTCTTGCAATTGCGGATAAGGATCCTTTAAGGGCAATAGAGAGCTTCAGGTGCTATTACCCTCTCTAAACCTTGGTGTTGTGTGTTCAGTGTAAGTGATAATTAATAGTCATAACATTAGCAGATGTTGAAATTCACTGGAAAAAGCAAAAAAGAAAATTGAAAACAGAGGCAGATATGAAAAGGAACAGTTATATATTGAACAATCAAAACTATCTTGGAAATTATTCCTGCCTGAAGAAATGAACTGGTAATTCTTCTGTCTATTATGTTGTGAAATACAACCTTAAATCTCTTACACTGCCTCATCTTCTGTGTCTGTACTAGGGAGCTTGGAATAATTACCTTGACGAAGTGTGAGGATGAGCAGAACGAAATGCTTAAATTGGCAACGACAATGTTTGATACAAAACTACCTCCTGGAGTCATGATGTTGCAGCCTTTTTCAGAAGATTCTTCAATAAAAAGAATTTCTGTGGAGGTTTGTACTGTTTTTAGTAGAGCGATACATGCCAGTTTCTTGATGCTAATTGCTTGTTGAGACTATTGTGTTTACTGGAATATTAAGTCACTTTAGATCTTCCTAAGAACAATTGTAAAAATTTCCCTTTCTCCTTTATAAGCTAATTCAGCAGCAAGTTTGAAACTCACATTAGGTTTAACTCAGTCTGTAAGGTGGTGTTCAGCAATGGTGCAAGAAGTCTTGTAACCTAACCACCAGCCTTAGTTTTTATTATTTGCTCATGCAGTCGTATATACCAATCATACGTTCTCAACTAAGGCTTAATGTACACAGGACAAATGCTGTATCACGATCAGCATTTATCACAGGTCAAGCATCCTAATCACAATAGGAGATAGGAGATGTAGAATCCTGGACATGGCTTGTACAGGTTTTTATATGGCATCATGATCTAGGGTATACCGCTTGGTTCTCCAAAGAGTTTGGTTCTCACTCTTCTGGCAGGTAGCCAGCACTTGTATAAATTAAATCTGGCTGATTGCAGGCCTAACAACTTGAAGTCCAAAGCATTAGCCTGAAATGCTCAAGTCAGGTAAGTAGTAGTACTATAACTGAGGTCTTATGAGCATTCATAAAATCTCTGCGCATGATGCAGAAAAGTCTAGAGCATTAGCCTGAAATGCTTAAGTCAGGTTAGTAATGGTACCGTAATTAAGGTCTTATAAGCATCCATAGAATCTCCATGCCTTATGTGGCAAGACGGGCTTTAATCCACATTTTGCATGTCTTGAGCTCCAAAATTGTGGAGTTGCAAAGAGGGAGAAGAGAAGCAAGATTAAGCTGTAACATTAAGAGGATCCTTCAAATTGCCAGGCTTGGTGCCCATACTCGCTTGAATTTTGAACAGTTTTTTTCTTCTCCCTCACTTTATATCCTTTAAAAGGGCTGGTAGGATTGATGCGGCTTGGTTTCTATTTTCTTTAATGGGAATGGGTTGTCAAAGCATTGGATTTATACCAGGGCATCAAATAGGGGTGGCCTAAATTTTTAAGTTTGGGCTGTATTGACCACTAATGTGGTGGGAACAATATTTTCAGCAAGGATAGAGCATCTCATGTTTGGGCATATTATCCACTTTTATATTGTAACTTATCTAGAGAACTTCTTGATCCATACTGGAAGCAAGCCAATCTTTCCATTTCTAATTTGGGAACTGAGCATTGCTTTTTGTTTATTGTTTTTTTCAAAGCAGAGGTTGGATTCTTCATATCATAACCCCCCTTAAGAATTATTATAAGTTGACCTCAACAATATCAATAATTTCGGGCCTAATCTTGCAAATTTCGTAGTTTATGTCTTCCCAATGCAATTTAAACCTACAAAGTTCCTACACTTGGAAAGTCTCATTTCCAAGAACATAGTTTTTTTTTTGGGTGATAAAAGGGACTGTAAACTCTGCTCATGAGTATTCACTCTAACTTTTGATTTTTGGTCTTGTTGTTCTATGTTATTTGACATTGAAGGAAATACTTCTAAAAATGATTTAGCTGTAATGAAAAAAATTCCTTATTCTGCTAACTTAGATTCTGAGGTTAAGTCTGGTTTAATTCCTCTTTGCATTTGTCTATACATGCCTTAAATTTGGAATATATTCAGTATTATGTAGAGATATGACTTAAGATGATTCAAATGTTAGATATGTACCCAAAAAAAAAAAAAAAGAAGAAGAATGATACTTCATTACTGTAGCTGTTTCTTGATGTATGATAAGCTATTATGGGACTCTCGAATCGTGAAGATGATAAACTTGATATGTTAGAAACTGGTTCTTGCAGTGTTTTAATAATCGGTTGATGATTGCAAGTTATGCACCAAAATTGTAATTGTCCTGCTGTGATATGATGATGACAGGCTTTTCCAGAAGAACTGTTTTCTGTTCTTCGTACTGTGCATCTATTGAGGGGGCTCAGTGTCGGTATGGGAATTAATTATTCATGTGCTGAGCAGTGGAGACCTATTGCTGAAGAAGCTCTGTGTCGTGCGGGCAGGCTACCAGGTATATTTCTAAGTCAGAACATTTGTCACTTCTATAATTGGTGTTTCATGGGGCCAAAATGGGAGTGTAGTAATTTGCTGCTGGTGCTTCTTGCCAATGCACGATAATACATCATGTCCAATTTAGGTTTCACTTATAATGTTAGCAATTTTGTTTGCTGGTGTTCATTTTCATAATGTGCTTTGCACTGAGCAGGCCCTATCAAGCAATGCCATTTCCATGCTGTTTGGCCGGGTCTAAGAAATGTAAAATTTGTCTATTTAACAGGCTTACAAGTTCCCTTCTGTAAAATTATTCTGATATTTAAACTGTTCAAGTTAATATCATGCTAAATCTGTGTTAATAAATCTTTTTAATCCTGCAACTTTTACCGTCTGTCCCTAAATTAGAGTTGCTCCAGACTTTGAGTTATTTTCTTTTCTGTCTGGCAGTGTGTCACCCCACAACAGCAGCTTTCGAGTTCAAAGTTCATTAACATTTTTCATGTGTTGCTTATTTTTTTTTGGGCTTTTTCATGTATTGGTGCAGATAAAAATTCAAGACGAGGACGTAGACGCGGGTACCTCAGAAGGATATTTCGGAGACAGTAAAATAACACATGAAGAAAAGCAGGCGGTTTACAAAAAAAAAAATTGAGACATTTATCATTCTTGGTATAGATAAAGTCTATTGTAATACACTAGTAACTGTACACTTACTGATTTAGAAATAGATATCTCAGGCTCTTCTGATGTGATGCTTTTCATTGCTGATGCTCAACCATTAATTGTAGGTGCCAATGCAAAATTGTATGGCACCAAATCAGTTCCTTGTCCATGACACAGGCAAAATCAGTATTCTGTAATAGACTGACATGCAAGATGAATATTCTGCATTTGTGGAAACTACTTTTGACCTGACTATTAGCATGAGATCCTCCAGCTTATGTAGTAGTTTTTGCAGTCCCATTTGGAGGTATTGATCGATGAACAGCATGGAGCAGAATACGGTTGATACCAAACAGGTAACATTGGAAAGGGGAGTAGGGGTGTGCATCTTGACCCGGCGACTTGAAAAACCCGATGATATGATCCGATCCAATCCGTCGGATTACATGCGAATCGGATCATATCCGAATAAAGAAGTTATGCGGATCAGATTCGAATATATATATTTTTTGTGATCTGCGGATATTCGATCTATAAAGTATTTTTTATACATCAAATACACTAATTTATCTTATTTCTCATTTTTATATCTATGTCCTCTTTCAAAATAAGTTTTCTTTGCATATGATATTAAGTTTTTAAACAAATTGTCTTATAATTTGTGGATAAAAAAATCGTAAATGTATTGAATCTTATTTGTTTGCATCAAAATAAGGAAAAAAAATTTATGGAAGTTACTTTATATTGCAACCCAAAAAAAAGGATTAATTTTGACTAAAAACTCTTTTTATTTTTTTTAATGACTAAAAGCTCATGTAAGTCCAACAAATCACTTGAATGATATTTTTGAAACTTTAATACAATTTATATTTCATTTTATCTTTGGAATTTATAACTTTTTTTAAAAGAAAATTTAAATTGGATTTGCATATTGTGAATACCAATATCTAGATATTTGCATTAGCAGATTCAGATGCGGATCATAAAATGATTGATCCGATTTTTACAGGTCGGATTAGCATTTTGTTTCATGGGTTAAACACCCCTAAAGAGGAGGAATCATTTCGATGTCAGGAAAAAAAAATAAAGAGAGACAAATCACAGAACCCGGTAAACCCCGTTTGGATTGCATTTTCTGTCGTTTTTCATAGAAAAATTACTGTAGTGATTTGATGTATGTGAGGAAAAAATGTAATAGGGAAATGTGATCACGGAAAATGATGCAATTTTCTGGTAGAAAATGGCAATCCAAACAGGGCACGCTCCTTTGCTTGTGCATGATCTTAAACATCTCCAATCCATGGTAAGTTTTTCCTTGCATTATGCTAAAACAACAGATTCATCTGGGTACTCTTGCGCCATCCGGACATTGATAATAATCAAATTTGCAAAAGAACAAAAGGATGAGAGAAAAAAATAAGATCGAATAGCAGACTTATCACAAAATGACATACAGAATAATTTGTTAACCTGTAAGCATAAATGTAGAAGATAGAATATTCTATTATGAAATTTGTCAGAACTCTCTATTCTTGACATCTGTGAGTCCTTTGAATTTACTTCAATTGACAATTGGTTTTCACTAAACATGTAGGCTGCAGCTTAACAAGATGGAAGCAAGGATTCATTGTCAAATTCGGTTATGAATGATTCTTGAAGAAAGAAAGAAAGGAGGGGGTGGGGGGGGGGGGGAACAACTTTCAAATTAAGCCAACTCAAAAATCAGGATTCATGTTTGTTCAACTCAATTTTCCAACCGCATTGATTCAGTATTTGGACTTCAAAGAGACAAAAAAGAAATTAGTTTGTAAAGCATAATTAGCTCACGTTGGATTAATCTTCAATATACTGATAGCATATGCACTTTCATCATTAGATGCATGACCTATAATCTAATTTGAATTTAAAATCTAAATTTTGCAGTGTATGCACTGTCAATATATCTAAGATTAATTCTTTGGAGTTTACGAGATCAAATCCCCGAAAGCTCTTGAAAATTGAGTAAAATGAGTTGAGATTGATCTTGATGAGTAATCAGCACTACAATTTAAAGAAATGTCACAATATTTGCTGATCAGGTAATGTAACCTTCAGAAGGGACTTCAAAATTAAATTCTATGAACAAATAAGAGATTGCCCTTGCCATCCTTCTCACAGCCCATCAAGGGCTTTCAAGTTTCAAGTGGTGTAAACTTGAGTTGGAGCTAGATGTTGACATGCAATATGCACTCAGTATTAACTCATTAATTAAGAGGGTTTTCTTGTTATCAATCTAGAAACTATGAAGCTTTCTGCAACTATTTTATAGTAAATAAAGCAAAAAAGGTCACATTAACCTGTAATTTTTTTAGTTATTTGTTTCTTAATCTTCACCAATCATTGCTTAAGCTGTTTAAAATCTTCAGTTTTGAAGACTGCTATAAGCAGATGTATAAAGCATAAATTTACACAAGTAACACAACAGAATTCTTGTTGGGAGTTGGAGTATGAATTGAAAAAGAATATCCTGCAAAGATTGTATCGGCAGGAATTAATGATGGATGCTAATATCCAAATACTACAAGCCAAAACCGTACAAAGATGCCTTGTATTTTATAAATCAAGAAAGTGTATAAAATTAGGAGAAATGGAAGTAACTATGCGATTCCCAGAAAAAATAATAATATGTTTCCTAGTTACTTCATTCCCCAATGTGGGCCGGCTGAATAAAATCTTTAATGCCGATTCTTGAAGCAAATGTTGAAGCTCTTATTCCATTGGTTTAAAGCTTCATTGCCAATGAAGAAAACCCCCACCTTCCACCAAAAATTACTGATTTAAGTTTAGGAGATGCACAGGTATTTTAGTGCTGTAATGAAATAGTATGATTTAGAGCCGACTTTTGTTACATTTTAGGCATTCCCTCGAAGAACGGTGTACTTTTTTTTGGCCAAAAATGTGGGGTGATGTGATGTATGATTAGGAAGTTGTATTGAAAGCGATTTCTTTTCCTTTTTCGCCTCTGATATAAATGGTAAAATCAGAGTTCAAAATCGAAATGTTGTTAAATCACGGTGCAATATCGAAAGAATAATTTGGCAAAAGAGTAGTATAGCAATTTTCTTAGCCTCCCTGATTTTCGTATATGAGATATTTTCAAAATCTTTTTATGTTCATTGTTTTATTTGTCAGCTTCTCTCAGATTGTGGGGTTCATTCATAGCATTCGAGCAATGCTAAAAGTAAGATTGGATTGATAACTCAAGAAACAAGTCTTGAGTACTTTCCAATGATGAGCTACTCACCAATATGCTCAATCATCTCATCAAGTGTTTTCCATTTCAAGGAAAAGGAGAAACATATGTAAATTCTGCAAATACAAACTAAAAAGGTGAGACTGCATTTTCTTCGTCCAGATTGCAAGTATTAGGCCTTCAAAATTACTGTTACTAATGCTATCATACTCATGTTTTTTTTTTTCATCATAATGATCATTAATTAATGTCATAATGAGAATCATTCTAATTATTCGTGGTATTGTTACTATTGTTATCACATTTTAGGGTATCAACAAATGAGGAGTGGACAGAAAAGTGAATAAAAAAGAAAGAAAAAACAGAGAAATAAAGAAAGTACAAAGAAGCATGCAAATTGTAAAACTCATCAGCCAATAGAAATAGAACCATCATTCTTTTCTACTATTTCATAAAGCCATATTTAATTGCAGGATTCACAAACCTCGAGTCGCAAAAATTTATATAATAAATTAATCACGAACCCTGATTCTAGAAGATAGCAAAGTACAGAGTATATAAAGCTCCAAGAAATTAGGAATGTGTACAAAACAGACTTTAATTGGATTTTGTTCTAATTGCTCTATGTATATTTAATAGAGAAAATCGTTTAAATATTATTTTTGGCATTAAAGTATTTGACAAACTTTATTGTGTTTAACGAAACAAGAAAAATTGGTAGTTTGTATCTTGCTATATAAACCAGCCCTGGTGGTTAAATGGTTCTTTCAAGGTCCTCACAAATTATCATTAAAAAAAAAAAAGAAGAAGAAAAAGATGGCCCCTGGTGTTTTGGACCCTGCTGAATCATATAATGATGAGTGCAATTTTGAGATGTCTGATGCAGGATTTTTTGATCCAGGTTTCAGAACATCATTTTCTCCAATGTGCCAGCCTTTTCTGGGAATCTTGGAAAATGCATCCTTTCTCTGGATTCCTACATTGTCTGATGAGACCGGTGACCAGAAGAGGCTGAAGAGAACTGTTAACTGTACTGATTCTACTGATAACAGTTCTATCAGTTACTCCCGCTCCAGCAGCTTTTCGAGCTCCGGAAGTGGAGGCATTTATCGTACGAGTAGTACCAACAGTGTTAACAGCCTCGCGAGGCATCATTTTCGCGATCACATTTGGACTTACACTCAAAGGTACCTTGCTGCAGAGGCTGTTGAAGAGGCCATCAGTGGTTCTGATCAGGATGCTGGAAATGAAGATCAAGACGATAACGGAGATGGGATGAAATTAGTCCAACTCCTCATTTCTTGTGCTGAAGCTGTAGCTTGCAGGGACAAGACTCATGCCTCTGTCCTATTATCTGAACTTCGAGCCAAAGCATTGGTTTTTGGATCTTCCTTCCAGCGTGTGGCCTCCTGTTTCGTGCAGGGACTGGCTGACCGGCTGGCATTGGTTCAACCACTGGGGACAGTGGGCTATGTTGTACCAAAGATGAATATCATGGATGTTAATTCGGATAAAAGGGAAGAGGCTTTATGCCTTGTTTATGAAACTTGCCCGTACATACGGTTTGGCCACTATGTTGCGAATTCTTCCATATTGGAAGCCTTTGAGGGAGAGTGTTTAGTCCACGTGGTGGACTTGGGGATGACCCTTGGTTTGCCTCATGGCCACCAATGGCGTAGGCTGATTCAGAGCCTCGCCAATCGTGGTGGCCAACCTCCTCGACGCCTTAGGATCACTGCAGTTGGCCTGTCCGTGGAACGTTTCCAGGTCATAGGAGATGAGCTTGAGGCCTATGCACACAGTCTTGGAATAAATTTGGAGTCTTCAGTGGTGGAAAGCAACTTGGAAAACCTGAAGCCTCAAGATATTAAGGTGCTTGATGGTGAAGTCCTTGTGGTTAATAGCATCCTTCAGCTGCATTGTGTGGTGAAAGAGAGTAGAGGGGCTCTCAACTCAGTATTGCAGATAATTCATGAACTTTCACCAAAGGTTTTGGTTCTTGTTGAACAGGACTCGAGTCACAATGGACCATTTTTTCTTGGGAGGTTTATGG